ATTGTGAAGTAATATTTAATATATAATAACATTATTAATTTCTTTTTTACTAGTTTTTTTATGTTGTGAAAATATTATCAAAAAACAATACATACATTTAAAACATTTGTCTTTATGATTAACTATTAAATTCATTTAGTTAATATTATATATGAAGAAAACATTTTGTAATTTCAAACTAAAGATTTATACATATACATACATATATACTATTGTTTACTTTATTATGGTGAAAAAAATTTTACTTTGACTGATTAATTAATTTTACATTGTAACCACATTAATTTTAAATTAAATTAACTTTTAAAATATTATACCAATTTAGCTTTAAAGGAGTTTGAACTAAAAGAAATATTACAAAACAATTTTTACTTTATATTTAATGTTTTTCTTTTTTTTTGGCTTTGGTTATCTCATGACCATGATAATATATGAATAGCATGTGATAATGTAAGAGTTGAAAACATTAATTAAAGGTAAGAATTTAAAAATATAATTAAAATTACTGAGTCCAGTCCTATAATCATTAAAATTATAGACATAGTTGTATTAAAAAAAATGTGTCAAAAGTTTTTAATTTAGATTTTTAAATAGAAATCGTATTTTATTTCCTTTTATGTAATTTCGTGCGACTTCGTGATTTTGACGTATCTTTTATTTTATACGTGAGATTGATTCTAACAATTTGATACACAGACACACTAAATATATTTCAGGTTGACAAGATTCTGGCACATGAGTATTGCCAACATAGTACTTCATTTATCACAGATTTTTATTCTTCATTTTTAAATCTATCTTCTTCTTGTCTTGCATCTCAATAATTGCTAACAAAATTAAACCAGAATCGAGTACCATTATTTAATTTCCTTTTTATAATTTCGTGAAACATCGTGATTTTAAAGTTCACAGTATTTTATATATTTCATTGATCTAACAATTTCACGCAAACTTTGAACTTAAACTAGCCACTACATCATTACTTCATCATCTAGAGTCAAAATCCATATGTATATTATAACTCATTCTTAAATGAATGAGATATATTAAGTATTTTTCCAAATTATAATGATCCATGATTATAAAATTTTAACTAATTAATTAAAATCTTAATTGCAAAATCTCTAGTTGAATTCTTATGAATAAAAATAATAATATAAATTTGATTAAACTCCGCTTATGTGTAAGAAAAAGTATAGAAGAAAAAATGATTAATGCATAAAAATGATAAGAAAAAAAGTACTATTTGCTCAGTAGAAAGAAAAGTAAAAAAAAAACATCGCTTTTTATTTTAACTAACATGTTTATTTTACACTAGTAAATAAATAATAAATTATAAAAAAATATTATTTTATAAAATTATCGATACTTAAATAAATAATTATTTATTTTTATATTTATAATTTTAATATTTACGTATGTATATCTAACTTCCCAGAATCCATATAATAAATATGTATATAATTTATATTAATAAAATATTTTCAAAATATAGACTATCTCATTATTAAAGATTTTCTACATTTTAAAAATATCATAAAATATAACATTAACAAAAATATCTAAGATCTTATCATTTTTCATTTCAGTCCTATTAAAATTTAACACCTTAATTATTTGTTTTCATGTAAAATGCACAATTATCACAAACATTTTAATTGATTTTGGATCACATCTTGAGTTCAACGCAACTTCACATACACATATATATTTCAGTAGATTTATGAGTAGCTCTCAGTTGATTAAGCTTCAACATATATATTTTAGTATCAAGAAGACACAAACACCACCACATTATCTTATAATTTATCATAAATATAATATATATATATAATGGTAGTTTTTATATTGGAACAAAATATTTTTCTACATGAATATAATATATTCAATACATCTCGTTTCATGCCTATGACATGTTTTAACATTTTAAGTTATATACATATATAATTTATCATATTTGCAAACAAAATGCATTTTTTTAATTTGACCTCTACCTATTACTTTGACTATAATTTTTTTTTAGATCTCCATTTTTTACTAATTCTCATTTTATTGGATTCCTTATTTCAAGGGTTTCAATTTCGGTATATGGAACATTAAATTTGAAATTCTTAGTTATTTCTTATGATTTTTAAAAGTTTGAAAAAAAAAACTTCTAGAAATATTTGAGCGAAAATACACTTAAAACAAGTCTCATTTCACTTGAAATTTTTCGCTTCAGCAAAAAATACACTTAAGATAGGTCTCATTTCATTGAAAATTTTTCGCTTAAGTGAAAATATATCTGAAAGAAACTTTTATCTCTGTTATACATTTTGCTTAAAGCGATAAGTTGTCGCTTAAACGAAATATGCAAATAACACATTGCAGAGATGTACCTTAAACTAGTTTACAAACATTAATCATTATTCTTTGATACTATATTACTTAATTTTCTTATAGAACATGTTATACTTGGTTCAAATGTTATTATCATACCCTACCATTTTATACACATCTTTTTCACATAATAAATCCAATTCAATTACTCTTTCAATCACATACAAATATTAATAATATCAATTCACACTTAACTCCATAAAAATCAAATAATATAACCAAGTTACCATCACCATCCAAATAATTTATTGTAGAGTACTAAGAAATTTACTACTAACTTCTCTTATTTTAATTTCTTAATCGTTTATTCAAAAAACACGTAATCTTATAGGAAGTCAGATCCTACTCACACAAAATTTTAATTAACAAATTAAATATATTATAATGCTCTTAAGCTAGTCAAAATTTATCTTTATTCAACAAAACCCACATATACATTGGGCCCCACATACAAGGTCCTTAAATTTATATATAATTGCTCTAAAATAGGTAAAAGAAAAAACTTATTTTATTTGAAATTTTGATCATATAAAAATGATTTCTTCTACTTTAGGAGTAATAAGATGTATTGTGATATAAAAAAAAATATAAGAATGGAAATAAGAAAGTTAGAAAGACAAAGAAAAAGCATTGTAGAAAGATGATTTTGTAAAAGTGAAATTTGAATGGATAAGATTTTTTATTTATAATTAATTTTAACTTAAATAGTAAAATTTCAAACTTCTTATCTTTTTATACAACTTCTACCTTTGACTCCCTCCTAATATATATTTATATATACATAGTTAATTATTATTTTGATAAAAAATATAGTAGATATAAAAATATTATAAACATTAAATAAATATTTTAATATATATATATAATATTTTTTATTAATTTAAATTTAAATATTCAAAATAATTTGATAATATTTTTTATAATTATATATCAAAACATATATTATCAAAAAGTGAGATATTAAACTAAAGATATTAATTTAAAAATAATTTTATCAATAAAAAAATAATTAATAATTATATGAATAATTTAGAAATTACATAATTTAATTTTAATTTAGTAATTTATTATTTTTTTAAATGAACTGTCAATTATTTTTATCTCACTTTTCTCTCAAACAAACAAATATTTTTCACTTTATTTCATCCATCTTTCTTTCATTTTTTTTCTTTCCTTATTTTTAAACATAAAGATGTTACGAACTAGTCATTCATAGCTACAAAGTATATTTATTTAATGTGTTAAGAATTTTTAGTTACTTTAAAAAAAAAGTAATGACTTCATATTTCTAATGAATGAGATTAATCTTCCAAACATGAACAAATGTTAATTTAATATGCTTGTAATTATCACATGTAACAATCAATAATATCAAAACATTATTTGCCACTTGTTAAACAAAATAAATAAAATATTAAGCATGTACAAATAATACAATTACATTCATTATCTCTTCGCCAGTTATAAGGCAAAAAAGGTTTATTCCGTGAAAAAAATGATACTTTTGAGCATCTAAATTCATATTACTCTTATAAATAATTCTCCTTTAATATTATAATAATAATTTTAATTTATTTTTATTTTTATTAAATCATTCCATAGATTATTATATTAATAAAAATAAATTATTTGAAGAGTTATATAATTTGGCTGTCAAAATATCACCATCCTTGCGTTTCTCTTTCCTTTAAAATTAACAGCAAGGACCACTGCAAAGACTATTAATTTTCTAGTAACTTTTTTTCTTCTAACGGATAAGTATTATATATATATAAATTAATAATTCATAAAAAATTAAGGATCTTTTTTAAAATAGTAAATCTCTTCTTACACTATAATTTGATTATATATATTTAATGTATATAAAATTATTAGTATATTTCTTCGCAATTTCAAGACATATTATATATCTTGAAGAGAGATGGACTAAAAAAATTAGTTTTAGGAAATTAATATGTTCAAATATATTTTTTTAAAGAAGTATAATATATTTTTTAAAATATTTTTTAAATTATTATTTTTAGCTTCTGTCAGTCTTTTTCCCTGGTCTCATAAATGAAAAATTTAATATTTATAAATAATTCATTAATAATTAATTAATATAATATATTTAATAATTATTTTATAAGATTAATTTTAACATTATATTAAAAAATATTTTTGAGTTAATTTAATTCTATTAAATAAATTTATTGAATAAATTTTGTATTCGTTATTTATTTTAATTATATTTTTTTATGAATGTGTTATAGGGAAGAATAAGTAGAAAAGAAAGGACTAGTTGGCATGGTGTACACAATTTTTAAAAGAAAAGAAGAAAGCATATAAATAAGTAGCCAGGTAAGCTGGGCATGATGAAACCAACCACCCTCAAACAAAGTTCCACACTTTCTTCTTCTTCTCCATTGCATTTGCCTATTTCCACACGTTAACAGCACTATATTCACTCCTGCATGATCCTCCACTTGTCCACACAACCAAAAAATCTTCACCAACGGGTCCTCTTTTACCCTTTACCAAACTGTTTCTCACTCCTTTGAGCGTTTCCCAGATATACCGGAACTTCATTAATGTTCCCACCACACTCCAAAGCATAAAACCTTGAGCGCGTAGTGCCTGAGATGGGAAGAGATCTCTGTGGAAGTGGAAAACTCAGAGGGTTCAGAAACTCGTGGTCCCAGATGGAGAGAGCCTTAAACGATGCCGTGTCCAAGAGCTTTGTGGGCAGGTACTTCAAGCTGGAACAGAGGAAAAGTTGTTTCACAAGGGAGCTTCGTGCTGCGGTGGCAACTTTTCTCACCATGGGTTACATCATCACCGTCAACGCCACCATCATGGGCGCCTCCGGCGGCACCTGCTCCGCCGCGGACTGCTCCGCTCCGGCGGGCCCGGACTGCACGGTGAAGCCCAACGTTGGGTATGAGAGCTGTCTTGCAAAGACCAAGAGTGACTTGGTTGTGGCCACTGCTGTTTCTGCTCTTGTTGGGTGTGTTGCCATGGGCCTGTTTGCTAACCTTCCTTTGGGCCTGGCTCCGGCTATGGGGCCCAATGCGTACTTCACTTTTAATTTGGTTGGTTATCATGGAAATGGGTCAATCTCCTACCAAACTGCATTGGCTGTGATTTTGGTTGAGGGCTGTGCTTTTCTTTTTGTCTCTGCTATTGGGTTGAGAGGGAAGCTTGCCAAGCTCATTCCTCATGCAGTGAGGCTTGGCTCTGCTGCTGGGATTGGGCTTTTCATTGCCTTTACGGGCCTTCAGTCCGGCCTAGGTGTTGGGCTTATTGGGCCTGACCCCTCCAATCTGGTTACCATTACGGCCTGCAAGAGTGTGGACCCAGCAACTGGGGCCTGCTTGGGGGGTAAACTACAAAGCCCAAAGTTCTGGCTTGGCCTTGTTGGCTTCCTCATTACAAGTTATGGGCTGATGAAGAATATCAAGGGGAGCATGATCTATGGCATTCTTTTTGTGACTTTTGTGTCTTGGTTTAGACACACTGAAGTTACTTATTTTCCTGACACTCCACTTGGTAATGCAAGTTATGACTATTTCAAGCAAGTTATTGGTTTTCACAAGATTGAATCCACTGCTGGGATCATCAGGTGTCATTATATCTTTACACTCATTACACTTGTACAATCAGTTTTTCTTTATCTTCTTATTTTTTCATCATCTTATTTATATACTTAGTTTTAAATTGAAATAAAAAGATTTCAAAATATATCTGTATATTATGATCAGTGCAATGATGACAAATTATTTATTACAACCTTACATATTTTCAGTCTCTCTAATCTCACTCCACATGCACTCCAAATGGGGTGTAAAATTAAATTTTTTCCTTCTCAGGTTTAGTGATTTTAACCAAAAGGGTGTTTGGGTGGCGTTGGTTACTTTGTTCTATGTTGATGTGCTTGCCATCACTGGCACTATGTACACCATGGCAGAGATTGGTGGGTTTTTGGATGAAAAAGGACATTTTGAAGGTGAGTATGTGGCTTATATGGTTGATGCAGGCAGCACCATTGTGGGTTCTGCATTGGGTGTGTCAAGCACAGCAACATTTGTGGAATCATCAGCTGGTTTGAGAGAAGGGGGTCGCACAGGACTAACAGCAGTTTTCATTGGCTTCTTCTTCTTCTTGTCATTGTTTTTCACTCCTCTATTGTCTAGTGTTCCTCCTTGGGCTATAGGACCCTCCCTTGTGATGGTTGGAGTGATGATGATGAAGGTGGTGAAGGACATAGATTGGACCAACACAAAGGATGCAGTGCCTGCTTTTGCCACAATGCTCCTCATGCCTCTCACATATTCCATAGCAAATGGGATCATTGGTGGCATTGGACTCTACATTGCTCTCAGCCTCTATGACTATGCTGCAAGCAGCGTAAATTGGTTTAGGAAAGCGAGGAGAATGGTGGTGAAGGAACAGAACCAAGTTTCTGCTACTGCAGGTGCTGAATCAACAGTGGAAATAATATGATGAGATGCTTATAGTTTTGGTTATCAAATGTGGACTTGTGGTTAGTTTTAGAGCTTCTTGTCTATAGATTTTAGTTGATAACATATATATAGGTCCTAGTCTAAGGTAATTTCATTCTCAATGCCGTCTACATATATTTTAGTGTAGTAGTAGCCTCATGAGTAGGAACTTTGATGCTTGTGAGTGTCGTTTATTTTGTATTATTTAAGTTGAAGAGTCAAATTTGTGGGTTGATATTTGCTGGGACTGGCTTATAATATATTAGAGTATATTCAATAGGTCATTTCTATTATTTTTATATACTCGGTGAAAAATAAATTTCACTAATTCCAAAAAGTAATAATTAAAGATTTATTTTTGAATTATTAAATAATTAAAATAAATTATTATTTTAAACTATTAAATTAAAACATTTCTAAAAATCAATTTTAGAAAATTGTTAACATGATGTTATTTTAAAAATTCTTTTAAACGAAAAAAAATAACGTTAATAACAATCAAAAGTCAGAATAAAAAATCCAAAAATAATTCTTATAATTTTGTAAAATAAAAATAAACAATGTGATGTAATATAATTATTTGTAAAAAAATAAATTTCTTAAATAATATCGGAAAATTTTTTTATTTATTTATTTAAAGTAACTAAACAAACTTTTTAATCTTTAAAGACTAAAACATGTTTTAAAAATAATAATAATAAAATCCAACTTTAACCTATATATATATATATATATATATATATATATATATATATATATATATATATATATATATATATATATATAAAGCATAAGCATGAACACTACATGTAATTAACATTTTTAGAAAAATAAATAATAAAGTATACAAATTATTGATTTTTCCTAAGCAACGTCTTAAATTACTCTGATTTTTAGTCTTTTAATTCACACACAAATTTCAAACCATTTTTTTCTGTCATGTGCTAACTTACTGGAAACTAATATCCCACAAACTATAATTACCTAAAATCAAAATAATGAGAAAACTTAAATTTAAATAACAGATCTTTGTAAGTATACTTAGATTCTTTTTGAAATTATATAATTTAATGTAGATATTACACCATCATAGTTACTCAAAACAAAAAAAAATATCATAATAAATTTGAATAAGTTAATATTTTGAAAAATATTCAATAAAATATAAATAATCATCTTCTTTATTTTTAATCATATCATACACTGTTAATTATTTTAAAACAATAATTATATATATATATATATATATATATATATATATATATATATATATATATGATTATAATGTTAATATTATAAACACATTTTAGATAAACTCGTACAATCCACAATATTAAAAAAAAAAACTAGTTTTTTATATATTTAAATAGTCTATGAATATAATTCAATAATTAATGCACATTTATTATATAATCATACTATTCAACATAAATATTGAAAACATAATTTAATCAAACTCGTGCAAACCACAAATTAAAAAAAATGTTTTATTTACAAGTTATTTATCTAAATAGTATATAATTCTAATTAATATTAGATAAAAAAAAAGTAAATTAAAATGTGACCGAGCAATAAATATTAGAAGTGCTGTGATGCCAAAGGAATTTTACATATACTCTAGAAATTACTAGTTATATTCTCTTATAAATTATCAACTATTCGTCTTTTCTCTTAAATACTTTTTGTGAAAAAAGTTTTATCATTCAGACCCACCTTTTTTCTTTTTTTTTCATCAAGATAAATCCTAACAATTTACACACCTATTTCTTCTTCCAAATTAAATCTTATACCTTCCTACAAAATTTTTAGTAGTTAAAAATATATAAATAAAAAAGTATGTAATATCCTAAAAAAATAATAATATTTATTATATAAAACAAGAGAATTAATAAAAAAATATAATATATGCTTTTCATATAATAGTTATAACAAATAATTATATTGAGTACAACCAAAATATCTTATTTGATTTTTATATAATATTAATTATTTTATTAAATTTGTTTTTTATAAGTGATGTGAACCATTAAATTATGTATGAGTGTATATATTTAAGTCTCACATATTACATATGGTAGAGAGAGCTGGAGGTCCTGTCCATGGACAAAGTATATAAATTTGATGATGGTTCAGACTTATATTTTAAAGTTGATCAAATTTTTTAGTCTATCCTATATTAGGTTAATTGATTTATTGGAGACTATCCTATATTAGGTTAATTGATTTATTGGAGAAATGCCTGATTGAATTTTTTTAAAATACTAACATATTTATACTAAATTAATTAATTAAAAAATATTTAAATAAAAATAAAAAATATAAATATATTTTTAATTTTTAAATTATATTAATAAAATTAATTTTCATTTAAAATATAATAATTTAATATATAAATTATAAGATAATACATTATTCAATCTTAAAATAAGAATTAAAAATTTATTTTTCATCATATTTTTATTTTTTAATAATTTATTAATCTAAAATAATAATTAATTTTAATTATTAAATATTGAAATAAATGATTGTTAGATAATTATTTTTATATTTACTCTTATAACAAGAAAAATCCCTTATTAAATTAATTTATAATTCATATAATATTTTTTAATAAAATAATATTACTTATATTTTTATTTAAAAATAATTATTATTTTATAAATTAGATTAACTCATAAATTTATAAGCTGACCTAAATAATCCAAACCAAAATAGACCAAATTCAATTTAATCCACAAAATTTTTGTTTAACTTAACCTATTTTTTTAGACTTCTCCAATCATCATATTAAACTTATTTTAACACTCCACTTATATAAAATAAAAACAAAAACTTATCAACGATAATATACATCTACTAATAATCTTTTATTTTTTCATGAAAGCAAACTTTCCAAAAATAACCACATATATCAATATATACATAATTTAAAGAAGTTCATGACATATATTCATGATAGGAATCTGGAAAATAAAATAGAAACGTACATAGGTCACATACACATACACTAGAGGGTACTAATTTCGATGACCACCGGTTACCTTTCATTTCACACATGAACAATAAACTAGTGTTAAATAATTAAAATATAAAAAAATCAATTTTAAAAGAAAGAAAAACATTTTTTTACAACGACCATAAAACGTATTTTCTATGAATGAAAAGCATATTTAAATATTTAGGCGTAAAAATATTAATTAGAGAACTTTCATCATTGCATTCCTTTTAAACAGAGGTTTCCACATTCCAATACACAAATGTAAAAGGACAAATGGATTGACATTAAGTTCATCTAAAGAGATTTGAAGCACACATTTAAAGCCTTTAATTGAGAATGACGTGAAGTAAGTATCTTTTTCATTGGCATCCATGATCTGAGAGGAATTGCTACTAGTTGGATCAGAAACCAGAAACGTTACTGATTGATTCTATTACATAAAAAACAAAACTTTCAAAATAAACGACAAGTTTTTTGTTGAAAAGAAGCCATTGGGGTGTAGGAGTCTAGGATGTACCAAAAAAAAACAAAAACAGACCCAAACACTGCATATGCTTCTCTGTAATAGCAACTAACATCAGTTGTTGTGGACTATATGTACTGATAAAGTATGTTTAGACTTGCCCTCAGGATCAACCTCAGCCTCAAAAATACACTCATCTCTTGGTTGAATGTTATTAGCTCTGCTAAAATCTAACCATCCATGTGTCAGTAATCTTAAATGCGTTTTTTCATGGTAAAAGACCGGCCACAATCTCCTTACTGGATCCCGAAGAAACACTACCATATTCCTATGCTGACCCACTTTCAACTTGCGAAACCCAGGCAGGCATTTGGGCAGTTTCTGCAGCAAATAAACAGTACCAGTGGTCAAACAAAGATACAAGAATGAGCAAGCACACACAAAAATGGTGTGCCATAAAAAGTTATGAGCTAAATTGGCATCGAAAGTACAAAATGGAATGGCTCTAGGCAAGTGTGCAGTATACCTATTCTATTATTACAGAACTTAAACCATATTAATAGAATTCAGATACAGTATCATGTGGACTTTCAATGTTGATCTACAATCAAAATTGGAATTTCATCTTGATAATCCAAACAATCAAAGTTGGGTTAAGGTTAGTATAGGCTATCAAGATGACACTCTAATTTTGATTAAAGAAACGATAGCATTGTACTTAAATTTTGTCCTAAACATAATCCCAGTTTGTAATGCAAAATCAATTTAGAACATAAACTATGTAATAATGCATGGAGACAAGGTCGATCAGGGACAGTAAATGTTGTACAAGGCAAACATCATCATGGGGAACCACACAGGAGAGAAGGTGAGTGGTTTTAAAACCACTCTCATTATCTTCATTAAATATGTCAGATTCCAACTGTTCATTAGTTTCCTTGGGCGACCCTATAATCACAGAAAAATTATCCATGAGTCAGAATATGGTACTGCACTTAACTATAGACATTACATCCACAAAAAGTGAGTACAAAACTTTAGGGGGATTCAACACCTTTTGTTTCCATTTCATTGAAAGTTACAAGCTCTTTCTTCAACATTCTAGACATTTCACCTGTAGTCACAATAGAATCGATTAATTCAGGTAAATCAAGGGGCTACTTGAAGAGAAATACATATAAATTGAGAACCTGTATGAATAACGAGATTTGAAGTGATTGCAAATTTCAACAGCAGTAGGAGAAAAGAAAACACCTGTTACATTCAATTCATCCAAGGTAATGTCCAAGTTGGGACTCATGTCCACATGCAATTTCTTCATTTCATCTGTAATCATAGTAACTGATTAACAACTTTGGCAAATTAAAGGGCCTGGTTGAGAAAATATTTATTAACTAAGATGCACCATTTTGAATATGAGCATCAAAGGGATTTGAGATCCTATTAAACTTCTGTTTGGTGTCTTAATAAAAAAACACCAATATGTAAAGCATGCTCCTTTTTAAATAAAGCAGACTGATCACTTTTCTGAAAATAAGCCAATGCAAAGTACAAGAATCTAGGAAATAATCACATGCACTACAAGAGAAAAACCCAGAAGCCTGAAGCACTACAAGTGAGTAAAACAAATTAAGTTTTAATAGGACAGAATTTATCTAACCCTGTAACAAATTTAAGTCTCTAGAAATGAAAATGGAGATACTCTATTAACTGTAGTACCTAAGCCCTCAGAAAATTGGCACCCTTTAGCTTTCCTGTTGGACGTGATGGCTTTGTTCTCTTTGTTTTCTTCAATTTTCAAATTAGAAGTCTTGTCATATGTGCTTGTGTCTGCCTCATCGCGAGAAGTACTTCTTCCAGCTATTTCAAGTTCAGATATATCCAAGGCAGCTTCCGTACTGAATATCCCTTCAATCATAGTATCTTTACCAGATGTCGTTGCATCATTTTCAAATATATTAGATCTATAATCGACATTAGAAACTTTTAAATCTCCGTTCTCAATTTTCATGGTCCCATCATCAGCATGGCTCTGGTCAAATTCTGGGCTTATTGAATAACATGGATCTTCACAGTGGTCTGGTATTTGCATAAGTGGGCCACTCTCTTCAGCTTTTTGTGGTGCTACTATTTCTACCTCGCTGCACTGCCTTTTCATTTTTGGCGCATGAAGCTTGGAGACAACTAAGGCATTGGGTTCGTGTCTAACCAAGACACCATCTCTAACTGGTGTATCACTTGTGCCCCTACTTCTTTTCTTCTGATTTCTTCTTACAGGAAAGCCAAGTTTTTCACATGCAGAAGTATCGTAGATCTTCACATCAAAGTGAAAACCCTTGATGTAATTGAATACCAAAAGATATCCAACTTTAAGCCCGTGACTCAGTGAAAAAACATTCCATCCCATCCCAAAAACAAAAGAACCATTAACTTCTGATACTTTCACCTTCCACTGCTGCCCACTTGAATCATTGAGATTGATTTTCTTATCAACCAAGTTTGCCACAATACTACTAAAAGCAGGAGGAATATACTGCAGTTTAAAAAGATGTAGAGAAGTAGTATACAAGATCAGAACACATGGTCAATTTAAAGAGGAATACACCAAAAAAAGAGTAGTATGAAAATAATTGGATGGACCAAAGCAAAATGCAGGTTCTGGTATCTGCTTCAGGCAACACAAATAATATGAGTTAATGTATGATGTACCAAGCGCCACAAAAGAAAAAAATCACTTGTATTTTGTTACAGTAGCAGGAAAGATAAGCGCATTTAGAAATCAAAAGAGTTCAAACCAAAATCCTATTTGGTCAGAAGGGATCAATTTTTTTGTCTAAGTTATTTGCTCAGCTATTGATGACAACGCTGGGGGTCAGCAATTTTGGAACCTTTTGAAGAGTCATTATAAACAACTTAATTAATAAATCACAAGCAACACTTTATCAAGTTAAATATATATATGCATGTGTGACATGCAATACTTTATTAAGTTAAATATATAGGGGCATGTGGTTTTAGTCTCACATTGAGTTGAATAAGAAGCTTAATGTTCTACTTAAATCATGATACTCTCCCACCCAATGGATTGATTTCTTTGGGTTAAACTCTCCTCTAGTACTTAAGTAAAATTATGTGAACACTGAACAGCCAAATATAAATGGAACTGAACTTTGCTCATCGGGTGTTGTGTGACTCATCCATGGGAAAAATGTTCAGAGATTTCAATATATGAAGAGAATCCCCAACTTAGAGTGGGGATCAAGCGAAAGAACAATTTATTGAAACTCCAAGCACAAAACAATTTAGAAATCTAGCATATAAGAAACATCAATTTACTGAAAACGCAAATATTTTTCTTTTAAAGGACAAAGCCTTGTAAATCAGGGAAGGCTGAACAGATTAAACAAAAAAGCAACCAACCAAGAAGTGGAACGGTGGATAATGTAAACACAAGAATAATGATGAATAAGAGATGGTATGGATGTTTGAACAAAGAAAGTAAAATGTAGGAGAATACCAACCAAAGTTGTTAAATAATCTTGTCTAGTAATGAACTTGAAGAAGGAGGTTGGTGAGGTTTGTTGGGTTTGGTGGAACAATAGACAGTTGTGGGTGCATGCAGAACAAACAGAAACTCCTTGTCCCTTGCCACCCATTTTTCCTCTCCTCACTCAACTCAGTGGTTCAAATTTCTCTCCTTCGCAACTCACAAAGAAAAAAAACCCCAAGTTAACACTTTTGTGTTTTCTTTAGATTTGCAGGAGGAACTGAGGACAAGTGAAGTTAGGATCGCTTTAAAAGCCATAGGAAAGGAGAGAGAGAGCATGCACCGCAAACATTTCTTTGAGATAGATGTTCTTTCATGTCCTTTATCTCATGGCTTTGTGATGTTTTGATATATGATATGGTCTTTTCAAATGTTCTATGATATGGTGGTCTTTGTAGACATTCTGCTAATAAGAAATGTTCAACTCATCATAGACATTCTGATGTCTTCTGCCTTTTACTATTCTAGTCGATGATGTAATCTTCTAATAGAACTTGCATAATTTTAATAAATATATTAACTCTGTCATGTTCAACTTAATTAAATCTCTAATCTTGAACTCCTCAAAAACATCTTCTACCGATTGAAAAACATTTTTTTTAAATCGGACCGAATATTAAATAAGTAAAAACAGAGTTTAAAGATTTTAGGATAATTTTTTTCTAATATAATAAATATATAATAAATTAATTAATAATAATAATTTTTATAAAAATATTATCATATTACTATTGAAATAAAATAAAATAAAATAAAATAAAATAATTATTATTTAAAATTAACATAATTAATATAAAATAATAAAATTAAAATATATTATATATTTTATTAAAAAAATTATCCTAAATATTTTTTTATCAAAAGATAAAAAATTTACTTGATTTATTTAAATTTATTAATTTTGTTCCAATTTAATTAAAATCTAATTATTTAAAAATAAAGAATTCAATTTCTGATTTAATTTGATTTTTAAAATAATAATAAAAAGTAAAATTATTTATTGGATTTCTTATATTTAATTAATTATTAATAATTAGTTAAAGTATCATTTTCATTATTCCAGTCATTAAAAAATTTTCGCCATCAAATGAAAATCATTTAACTATTTAAAAAAATTAACAAAATATATTTATTTTAGAAACTAAAATAACGTAACCAAATTTAAAACTACAATTAATTACTTTATATGTCACGTCAACTCTATCTAGTGGGTTAAAATTTGTATAATCCCAAATAATTACTAACATTGTTAAAATGATTTTTTCGACTTTTTTTCATAAATAATACTATTTTTAAAAATATTTCCCAAAATAGTACATCTGGAAGATTATTTACACAACTAGCACTCTTTATTTTTCATGTATTAAAATAATCGATTATTTTATATTATGATCGATTATTTCGCGCAATCGAATCTCGCTCAAGCGAAGAAACCCTTCGCTTGAGCGAGGAAATATGTAACAAAGGGGTAATCTCGAGTCTATTCTCGCTCAAGCGAAGAAACCCTTCGCTTGAGCGAGAAAATCTGTAACAAAGGAGTAATCTTCGGTCAATTCTCGCTTAAGCGACGGGTATTTTCGCTTGAGCGAGAAGTGATTAAAATATGTGGTAACCCAAGTTGCGTTATGTGGCTAACTGCGTTGGACGTTTAGCCTGTGGTCAATTCTCGCTCAAGCGATGAGTTACTTCGCTCGAGCGAGAATTGATTGAGTAACTGCGTTGGACCGTGGTTAATGCTCGCTCAAGCGAGACATCCATCGCTTGAGCGAATAAATTTATAATCGATTATAATTTAAACTAATCGATTATAATTTTAAAATAATCGAATATACAAAATTATATAGCGGTTCTAGAACTAACCGCTATTAAAAGTATGTTTTAGATAGCGGTTCTAGAACAAACCGCTATTAAAAGTATATTTTAGATAGCGGTTAACGTGGAACCGCTATCATATGTGTCACTTTTAAGATCCGGTCAATTCTCGCTCAAACGACGGGTATTTTCGCTTGAGCGAGAAGTGATTAAAATATGTGGTGACCCAAGTTGCGTTATGTGGCTAACTGCGTTGGACGTTTAGCCACTAGTCAATTTTCGCTCAAGCGATAAGTTACTTCGCTCGAGCGAGAATTGATTGGGTAACTGCGTTGGACTGTGGTCAATTCTCACTCAAGCGAGACATCCATCGCTTGAGCGAAGAAATTTATAATAGATTATAATTTGAACTAATCGATCATAATTTTAAAATAATCAAATATACAAAATTAGATAGCGGTTCTAGAACTAACTGCTATTAAAAGTATGTTTTAGATAGCGGTTCTAGAACTAACCGCTATTAAAAGTATATTTTAGATAGCGGTTAACGTGGAACCGCTATTATATGTTCACTTTTAAGAGCGGTTAGAATATTAACCGCTCTTAAAAGTGAACATATAATAACGGTTCCACGTTAACCACTATCTAAAATATACTTTTAATAGCGGTTAGTTCTAGAACCGCTATCTAAAATCTCGGGTTAATTCTCGCTCAAGCGACGGGTACTTTCGCTTGAGCGAGGAAACCTGCAACTATTTACAATGCTGAGTCACCCACCCAAGTCAGGATTCCCATGTCTTTCTGATGCACACAAGTAAAGAATCCAATGCTGAGTTACCCACCTAAGTTAGGATTCCAATCTTGGATTCCCTGCATTGGGTTAGACAAAAGCAGAAGAATCCAAACATATTTAAAGAGATGTTGACCCACCCACTTTGCTTGGGTTTTGTGTGCGTCAGAAACCATGTGAGGGAGCATTGGATTCAAACCAATGGACTTCATTATAAATAGACCACTTTCATTCTTTGAAGTTCTCACATTGCACACTCCTAAATCTCTAAAGCTATTTGCATTATTTCTTCTTCTTACCTTTAGTCTTCTTTGTGTTCCACACTCCTAAAATGGGTGTAGTGTCTACTAGTGTCCACTATGATGGTTTCATGAACCCATGTCCTATGGAGGGAGTTACCTTCAATACTGGGACTGCAAAACTTGTTCCTTTAAAGAGAGGAATTTCTCTACAAAGGTTGAAGAAGTTGATCCACAAGAAATTGGAGAAAGAACCCCACGAAAATGTAGCAACCATCCATTTTCGCTGCCCAACTAGACTCGGAGTTGGGATCAACAACTTCATTGTTGTTGAGTTGAAAGATGATGACGACATGGAGGCCATGTTCGATGTTCATGATTCAAACTCAAGTCTATGTGGTATTGAAATTTTTGTTTCATTTAAAACTTCTTCTTCTTCATACCCCAACACACACTCACCAGAAATTTCACCCTTACCCTACCAAGCTTTCCCAAACACTGACCCAGAAATACCCACACATAATGACTACATCCCTTTTACCCAACTTCTAAGTGGGCCTTCCACCAACATCAACGAAGAACTACCCACACAAGAGAGCGAAATCGTTGGCCTCCCAATTGAAGTCGTTGATCCTTTTAGTGAGGATGAAGACGAAGATGAAATTCTCAGCCAACACCAAGATGATTCAGAGGACGAACAACCACATATCCCTACACATGCACCAAACTTCATGAAACCATACAACCCACCACAACATTTTCTTAACTTTGAAAGTCACATTCAATAACAAGACCCAGAGTATGGTCATGCGTTGGACATAGAGTCTTTTGTTTCTCCGGCAGGAACTCTATTTCTTGGACAACGTTTCATAACAAAAGAACAAGTTCAAGATGCCATCAACCGCTTTCACATTGTCAATCACTGCACATACAAGGTGAAAATTTCAAACCAAAGTAGATATGTTGTTGAATGTGTTGATAACCAATGCAATTGGAGATGTCGAGCAATATTGCGCACAAGAGAGCAATATTGGGAGATTATGAAGCTTGAAGGGCACCATACATGCGTTTCGCCATTAATCAGCCAAGACCACAACAAGTTGGGATATAAAATGATTTTCCAAATAATTGGTCAAATAATTGATGCTGATTCGTCAATACCAATCTCCACAATCATAGCTCATATCCAATTAACAACGGGTTACACTATAACATACAGGAAGACCTGGTTGGCCAAACAAAAGGCAGTGGAGATCATCTACGGCAATTGGGAGGATTCGTATAAGAAGTTGCACAACCAGCTTACCAAGGTGAAGTCCTTCAACAAAATTCAAATATTTTTAAACATGTGTTTTTGTTGTTTAGGTCATGCATAGATGGATTTGTTCACTGCAAGCCCATTGTTCAAGTGGACGGAACTTTTTTGTATGGAAAATATAGAGGTACCTTGTTGGTTGCAGTAGCACAAGATGGCCGCAACAACATCCTCCCCATTGCGTTTGTAGTGGTTAAAGGTGAAACAAGTGATGCCTGTTTTTTTTTCTTAAAAAACCTTCAAAGATATATCACACCCCAGCAAGGATTATGCCTCATATCAGACCGACATGAATCCATTAGAAGTGCATACATGAGAAATGGAAGCGGATGGACAGAAAATAATTCAATGCATGTCTACTGCATTAGACACATTGCATAGAATTTTATGAGACGTTTCAAAAACACCGCACTGAGGAAAGATGTTGTAAATATGGGTAATTCCTTTACTTCAAATTTGTTACCATTTATTCATTATTTAATTGTTGCTAATAAATATTTATATTAACTATGTTTTTTTAATATTGTTGTAGCGTATGGGATGACTGAACCACGATTCTACTATTATTACAACATCTTGAGGCAATGTGACATACAAGCAGCTAATTGGTTGGATGAGATACCTAGAGAAAAATGGGCACTTGCATGGGACAATGGACGACGTTGGGGCCACATGACGACCAACATAGCAGAGTTTATCAACTCTGTTTTGAAAAAAACAAGAAATCTACCTATTTGCTCCATGGTCAACGCAACGTACACCCGCTGCAACAAAATTTTCATTGAAAGAGGGAGGCAGATAGATGCCATGATTAATGTTGGTCATGTATACTCTGAAATTTTTGTCACAAATTTAGAGGAAGCACAAACACAGACAAACACGCATAGGGTCATAACTTTTGACAGGTCTACCACAAAATTTATAGTAGAAGAAACACAAAACCCGCGTGAAGTTCGACCAGCAGGGAAGTTTGCAGTTCACCTTGATGAGTTATGGTGTGACTGTGGGAAATTCCAAAAATTTCACATGCCTTGTTCACATGTTCTTGCTGCATGCAAGCATGCACACCATGACTTCAACAACTATATTAATTCAGTGTATACCTTACAACAAGTTTCAAAGGTATATGGAACATAATTTGGGTTATTGCAAAATGAAAAATATTGGCCAACATACACAAGACCTACTTTGTGTGCAAATCCAGAAATGAAAAGAACTTCAAAGGGCTGACCAAAATCAAGTCGTATAAGAACTGAGATGGACATTACAGAAAATCAAAGTAGGATTAAAAAATGTTCATATTGTCATACCCCTGGTCATAGCAGAAGAACATGTCCCAATGTTGCACGTGCATCTACTTCGCATCATTATATTGTGTTAGTTAAGAAATGTCTCAATGTATGAAACTTAGGAGTTTTTCAATTAATTGAAAGTGATGAAGATCTTATTGAATCATTTGATAAAACAAAGATCTTGTGGGTTTGATGAAGTCAAAGGTTATTTAAGGAAATTTTTGCTAACTGTTTTAATCGATTAAAACTTGTTGTTATCAGTTAAAATAACTTAGAAAGTTTTGTGAAAAGTTTTGAAGAAACTCATTCTGCAGGAGCCGCATAATCTGGGTTTGATTGTTCTAGTTTCTTTTCTTTGTTTCTTTACATATTATGAGTATCTGGAAGCTTGAGTGAGAATTGACCCGAGATTTTAGATAGCGGTTCTAGAACTAACCGCTATTAAAAGTATCTTTTAGATAGCGGTTAACGTGGAACCGCTATTATAAGTTCACTTTTAAAAGCGGTTAAAATATTAACCGCTCTTAAAAGTGACATATATGATAGCGGTTGCACGTTAACCGCTATCTAAAATATACTTTTAATAACGATTAGTTCGAAAACCGCTATCTAATTTTGTATATTCGATTATTTTAAAATTATGATCAATTAGTTCAAATTATAATCGATTATAAATTTCTTCGCTCAAGCGATGCATGTCTCGCTTGAGCGAGAATTGACCACAGTCCAATGCAGTTACCCAATCAATTCTCGCTCGAGCGAAGTAACTCATCGCTTGAGCGAAAATTGACCAGTGACTAAACGTCCAACGCAGTTAGCCACATAACGCAACTTGGGTCACCACATATTTTAATCACTTCTCGTTCAGCGAAAATACCCGTCGCTTGAGCGAGAATTTACCGAGATTACCCTTTGTTACAGATTTCCTCGCTCAAGCGAAGGGTTCCTTCGCTTGAGCGAGATTCGATTGCAGAAATAATCGATCATAATATAAATAATTGATTATTTTAATACGTGAACAGTAAAGAGTGCTAGTTGTGTAAATAATCTTCCGGATGTACTTATTTTGGGAAATATTTTTAAAAATAGTATTATTTATGAAAAAAAGTCGATTTTTTCTTCTGGTTTAATTGAAAAATAAAAAAATAAAAAATTTAGACTAAAAAATTGTAGCAGGAATTTAATGGAGTATTTTCTTTTTATCTAATCCGTGGTTTTAATAAGCTTAAACAAAATTAACATGTTCTATTATAAAATAACAATTACATTTAAAAAAGTATTATTATTTTATTTATATATATATATATATATATATTTAAATTGGTCAAATTTACTCGTTGACCGGATTAGATCATAAATAATAACTCATTTAAAAATACGAATTAGACAAATATCCAGTTTAATTTTTTTATATAATATATTATTTTAGATCAATAGATTAAGATACTGTTTCATAACCCTAATAATTACTTATGATTTTAAGAATTACTCTTGTAATTTTATTTATCAATTTAATTAAAATTGGGAGATCTCAGAAAAAGAAAAACGACCACTTTATATCACTTTTGATTCACAAAGATCCACAAAAGAAATTCACCTAGATCAATATGCAAGTCATGTAAGAGCATTATATAATCTTAGTGACATAAGTTATTACTTAAACATATTTACATTTTATTTTAAAGCAATTAAATTGAAAAAAAAATAAAGGTTACATAACTTCTATAAAAACACAATCAATTCATTAACCGAGGTTAAATAAACATCCACAAAATAAAGTTTAGTTAACCCACTTAATAAATAATGTCACTCATAATTACTAACACGTAAAGAGACAAAAATGTAAAAGTTTGATCAGAAGACCTCACGTACTAACTACTCAATACGAGAACGTTAGTTATTTCATTTAAAAAAAATTCCTTTTCAGTCTTTTCAGTTAAGTCTTTGAATAAACTTTTAACACAAATTATTATTTCGCTTAACATAACCATTATCAAATATGTTATTAAATTGTTTGTAACAAAAAAAGAAAAAACTATTGAAATTTAAATGCGGGAAAAAGATATTAAAGAAATCCGTTACGGTGAGAAAAGGAAAAGAATCACCCAAAAGAAAAAGTGTAGTTATAAAAAAATCCGCGTTCCAGGATATCCTTGTCCAATTCAATCCTCAAAATTTCAAAACAAGAAAACGACAAGCTGAGAGCGAGAAAATAAAAGAAAAAGAAGCGGAAAAGGCAACAACGCACTTGCTACGTTGCATTGCCCTCGATCCGCGTCTATTCTCAAGCTAACCTTACTAGTTAAGTACCCGTTACAACAAAACCTTGGGCAATATAATTTCTAAACCCTTGTTATCGGAAACGCGTTTGCACACACAACACACACAGTGATATCTGAGTTCGAAGAGAGCACGCGTCGCGAGCGAGCGAAGCCACCGCCATGGCTAGGGCTCGCGAGAACTGGGAGAAGCTGGTTCGAGCCACGCTGACGAGGGAGCAGCACAGAAATGCAGGACAAGGCCACGCCAGAGTCCCCAGCGGAATCGCCGGTGCGGTTCCACCGTCCCTCGCTCAAACCACCAACATTGATTTGATCTTGCAAGCCGCGGATGAGATTCAATCGGAGGATCCTAACGTCGCTAGGATCTGTAAGTGTTTCAATTTTGGATGAATCGGAATCTGTTTGCGTGTTTAAATTTTCGATGCTGCGTGCGTTGACGTTTTCTGTCAATATGAGATCTGTGTGAGCTTTATACTGTGGCTTGAAGTTAGTGTGATGAGGAAGGGGAGTGAGTCACTTCTAGAGGTTAAGCTTGTTTAATTTATTAATTATTATTAATTTTTTTTAATTTGCGGAACTGGTATTATTAAGGAATGGGTGAAATTTGTTTCTAACGGGAATTTGAATTTAGTGGTGGCTGAAATGAAATATTTGGTGAAGATAGAGTCATTTTGAGACGGTTGGGTAATTGGAGGTGGTGATAGTCATGTTTAGTGCGGAGGTTAACTTGGTATGATACCGTGTGTGAGATGACTTAAGTGGATATGAAAATGGAAGGTGGGATGTATGGGCTAAGATGATGGATGGAGGAGATAATATGAGAGCCTGATGCGCATGTACACTGTAGTGGGAATTGTCTGTGCTAGAAATGGGAAAGTTGTAGTTGACCAAGTGAGGTGTGACTGGATCTTAGTTTTGTTACATTGAGTTTTTTTGCTTGGTTAGGGAATATTCAACATCAATTGTGAGCTAGATTGGCTATCATTGATTAGACTAAGCACATTAGAATAATAAAAGGGATGGGGGTTTGTTGGTCTAATTTATAAAAACATTGCAAGAGTTTGCATATATTTTTACGTATGTTCTTTGGAGTTGCCTTCATTTTTCCTCTTTATATTAGATGGTGTACCTGTTTATTATGGGCTCATCTTAGCTTGTGTTACTTGTCTTGTCTTTCACTATCTTCTCTGTTCTGCAGATGAAGACCTTGAGTTTATGGGTTTTGAAATCAGGGAGTATGTGGAATTGTGTTGTGTGTGTGTCTAAGTCAGTCAACATTATATTATAGTTACTTGCTAGGTAGTAGATACAATCATGATTACAAGAGTAGTTTCCTGATCTTAATGACCTTGTAAGAAGACATTTTTTTATGTCAAGGTGATGAAGAAGGCAGCATTAAATAATAGCCAACGGATAGAAGAAGAAGAATTTACAAAGCTTTAGCAACCTAGATAAAGTATGATTGGTAACAAGGGCTAAGATTTGCGTTCTTTCAGGCCAGGAAGAAAATATGATTTCACTAGCTCGCACTAAATATAAATTTGGTTAACTGCTCCACAATATGAACCTCTGTGTAGTGTATGTGGCTTAGTTATTCTATTACATTCTTTTAGCTCAAGTAACTTTTGCTTTTGAGTTTCAAGTTAAATAGTGTATTATTTCTCATGTATTGGGTAAAAATTTACATATACCATATTATCTTTTGAGCTTATCTCAATGTTCATATTGAGAAAAACCAATTCCCATATTGGCTAGAGATAGAGCTAAAAAGAGTATACTAGCGGTGATAGTCCTCACTTTACAAGTTGGTATTGTGGATTTAGTTATACCTTAATTCACATTCTAAGATGGTATTGGAATCTATCTTAAGATCTATTAAAAGGGTCACCTACCATTTTATCCATATACCAAACTCAATAGTGCTGGATGTGAGGGGATATATCTGGAAAAATCAAGTCCCATATTGGTTAAAGATGGAGCCTAAAAAGAGTATATAAGTGGAGACAATCCTCATCTTATAATTTGGTTTATTGAGATTGAGTTCATGTGTCTGTCATGTGAATCTCAAGATATCACAATTTGTTACATGGTAAATATCAGATCTAATATCTGTTGTGTTTGAATCAGCTGATAGTGTTCCTTTTGTGATATGCATTAGTATGACTTCTTACTTTTGATCTTCAGTGTGCGAGCAGGCATATAGTATGGCTCAAAATCTGGATCCCAACAGTGATGGTAGAGGCGTTCTACAGTTCAAGACTGGTTTAATGTCTATAATCAAGGTATTGGTCGTGATTGGTGTATTTTGAGTGATACATTGAACTGGAACCTTTTTTTTCAATTGATTTTTTTTTGTCTTTATTTGAGTGACATTAGAGGGATTATCAGCTCACTTGTTTATGATTTTCGTTTTGCTATCTTCTATAGCAAAAACTTGCTAAGAAGGATGGGGTTCAAATTGATCGCAATCGAGACATGGAAAACCTTTGGAAGTTTTATCTACACTACAAGCAACGTCACAGAGTGGATGATATCCAACGAGAAGAACAGAGATTGCAAGAATCTGGAACTTTTAGCTCCTCACTGGGAGAGTATGTCCAACTCATAATACTTTTAAATTAAACTTGGGAATATGTTGTTTATTTCTTCAGTAAGATAGATGGAGGTTATTTCTTGTTTATGCTGAGACTGGTGAAGCTTGATGCTTATTTGCAATTATGGCCTTCAATTGTTTTTCTCAATGTATAGAATTATCAACTTGTTCTTGTTCTGTAGGAGTTGCTTGTATCTTTCAATCAGAATTCAAGGCTTGGTTTATTATTTTTGATTCTAAATTATTTTAAAGAGAAGCTAAATATGAAATCCTATGCTTTTTGGGGCTCTTTGATGACTTTTATTGAAATGCCTTTTTTTGGTCATTGGTTGCTAGCTTTGCTTATTTTTATTTTCTCAGATATGTAATTAAAAAGTAATAGAAGGCTTCTGTGGCTAAGAAGTCATTGTGTTGGGGGTGATGAAAAAAATATAATATGTTAATATTAAAAATAATAATCTAATAGTGACGTGGAACTGCTGAACCAGGTAGATAGATTGTCAATTTTCTTTTCATATCTCTTATATGCAAATAATTGTACTTGTACATAATCTATAAGGTAGTGAAATTGTTATTGGTGGTCGTTCTCCTCTCCTAACTAAACAAATCCTTAAAATATGCAGAATAGCTTTCTTATTTACATTATGTTTTGTTGATTGAAAACCTAAATTTATTTTTCTGGATTATGTTTTTGCCTGTTATAATATATGCTCTAGGTTGAAGCTTAGATCATCAGAAATGAGAAAGATAATTGCTACACTACGGGCTTTAGTGGAGGTCCTGGAGGCACTTAGCAAGGATGCTGATTCCAGTGAAGTTGGAGGGCTCATAATGGAGGAGGTACTCCTTTTGTGTTAAGTTGTCTATCATAAAACAAATTCACTGATTATGCATTCAATGCTTCAATTATTTTAAACTACTCATTTTATTTTGGTATTTAATTTGGTTGTTTTTCAAATTTACAAGCCACTAGTTTTCATTCTTTTTGTATTGCTAGTTGACATTTAATCAAGGAATATAGAAATCATTTACTGCCTGTTGTCATTTGTTTCACTTATAGTTCTATTTGAACATGGCAAAGATTCTTAAAAATCTTATTTAACTCAATGATTGCAGTTTGTGATTAACTCATCATGTCTCATGTTTTCGTAGTTGAGGAAATTAAAGAAGTCAAGTGTGACATTATCTGGAGAGCTGACCCCATACAATATTATTCCTCTGGAAGCACCATCATTAACAAATCCTATCAGAATTTTCCCTGAAGTAAGTTGATCCCTTTAGAATACTGGTGGTCCCCTCTCCCTCTCTGTCATTCCAAGTGGCTTGTACTTGATGTGTATACATTATTCCAATCACTAGGAGTTCTGACATTGACACATCTATTCATGGTTGCCTGCATGATTTGTGTAATATTATCCTTGAATTCATGCACTCTTTGTGGTAGTTTCTGATGCTGTGAGGCTTGGTTCTTCATATCAGGTTAAAGCAGCAATATCTGCAATTAGATATACTGATCAGTTTCCTAGACTTCCTGCCGGATTTAAAGTATCTGGACAAAGGGATGCAGACATGTTTGATCTTCTAGAAATTGTGTTCGGTTTCCAGGTTTGTAATGATTGTTGGATATTTTTAATTTTGTATATCATTGCTGTGTATCATGGCTAATTATATGGTAACTAATGCATCTCTTTCATATTTCATACTGAATTGATCATTATGTTCTTAAATTTTTATTGCTGATACAAATGGTGGTTCCCACTCCAATATTGACATCAACAAATAACAAAATATAAACATTTATATTACTTCCAAATTACAAAAGAGGGGAAGTTGTTACAACAAACTAATGACATCCACCTGTTCCATTGCCAAATAGTCCTCTTACTAACATTTTCATCTCTATTGGGAGTTATATTTTTCTTCTCACAGTTAAGCTCTGTTTTATTTGCATGGTCTACTAAATGCTTTACACTTGGAGCATGTTTAGGAAAGCTTTTCCCACCAATTTCTGCTGTTTAATTGAAAAATAAGCTGTTTAGAAAAATAAGCTGTTTAGGAAAATAAGCTGTTTAGATGAAGTGACTTGTGGAGATTCAGTAGAAGATAAAGAAGACAAAGGTAGGTTTGTGGTGTGTGATTATTGGGTGAAGATGACGAAAACAACAAAGGAAAAAGAAACTTTTGCTCATTAAGCAAAACATCTTTAGAAATTGTAACTTACAAAGGAAGATAAACATTTGTATCTTTTGTGTGATGTGGAATAACCAAGAAAGACATTTTTGAGAGTGAAATTCAAGTTTATGAGAGTTGTAGGGTCTAAGAAGAGGGAAACTAGCACACCCAAAAGCTTTAATTAGGTGTAGTTTTGAATATAATAGTGTAAGGAACATGAAAGTTTAGAGGAGCACCAGGCAATCTATTTATAAGATAAACAACAACAGTAAAGGCATGGTCCCAGTAGGATAAGGGAAAATATGCATGCTTAAGTAAAGTAAGATGTATCTCTAACAGCCTCAACCACATGAAAACTTGCAAAGATCAAACAACTCCTTCATGTGTTAAATTTCTTTGAGTTTCTGCTATTGAAACTGTATTGTGATAATCAAACAACCCTTTACATTACCTCTAATCCAGTATTTCATGATGGAACTGAACATGTAGAGGGCCTTATGATGTTCCATGTTTGTGCTTATAACTTATATGCTCTAGGTTGAAGGAAAGTTTAGAAACATATTTTTGTTTTAATTTTTTATATCTACCTACTGTAAATAAATTTATTCTATATAAATTGAAATCTGCTGAGTGAATTTGTACACTAAACAATTTATTCAAATATTTGACTCTGAATTCTCGGAAAAATTACGTTCTTAGCTCCAATTTTATGATCCATTCATGACATAAAATGGACACCTATAATAATGATTAAGTTACTTATTTTATTATTAATTTTCTGTGATTAGATGTTTTGCTTTCCAGCAAGTGGTAAATACTCTTGGTTATAATCTTAATTTTTGTGTACGCAGAAAGATAATGTGAGGAACCAGCGTGAAAATGTTGTTTTGATGATAGCAAATAAGCAGTCTCAACTTGGAATACCTGCTGAAACTGATCCAGTGAGTTCTTTTTATGAATACATTTTGGTGCAGTTTTACCATCTGGAGTATTATTTAGTGTTTCAGTTTATAGACATTCTGTTTTTATTTTATCTGTCTTAAAAGAATATATAATTATTTGTAATCAGACCTCAGCTAGGGTTGGCAAAAACGTCAGCATGAAATTGGTTTAGTGACAAAGAGATGCCAACTAGTTCTTACTTCTATGTTCTTTGCTGTTGTACATCTTAAATTAGCTTGTAATCTTTATCTATCTTTAAAAGTTTGCACTTCTTTTCTGTATTGGTATTGAGTGTAACTTGGGATGAATGAATAAGACATTCTCTGGTTTTCTTATGGATCCCTTTTTGTATTAGTAGTGTCAAATAGCAGTGCTTTCAAAGAATCCCGTCATACAGGGTTCAGTTTGTAGTGGTTGCAATAGCAGACAAAATCACAATACTTGTGAATGAGACAAAAAATCATAACCATATACAATTTATTTCTTAATTTCTTCCAATGAGTCAACTTCCAAGAACATATTTAACCATCCCTTGTTCTCTTTCCTTTTTCTTTGTTTTCAAGTGAGTGTTTAGTATGTGTTCTAAAAAGTGGTATCTAGAGCTATTTTTTTGGTGATCTATGTGTGATACCTACTAGCTTGTGAGGCATCTTGCTGTGTGAGAAAGCATTCTGCTGTGTGTGAGATACATTTTGTGTAAGAAACACTTTCCTGTGAGTTTTCTTTCTATTTTGGAAAAATTTTCTGGTGTGAAATTATGCTAAGTTGAGAGTGTGAATCATGGTGGATTCTGATGGGTCTTTTCCTGCCAACCTCCAAATTCTTGATGGCAAGAACTTTCATCAATGGTGTGTTAAGATGCATGTTATCTTTGTTTTCCATTAAGTGTTGGAAATTATAAAGAATGGTATTCAAGCAGAGAGGAAGGTGCTACATCGGTTCAGAGGGAAGTTCATAGGCAATCTAAGAAGAAAGACTGCAAAACTTTCTTTTTGATCCATTAATGTGTGGATTCTACTAATTTTGAGAAGATTTCTTTGACAAATTCAGCCAAAGCTGCCTGGGATATTCTGAACAAGTCATTTTTTTTGCTGATAACTCAATTAGTGTTGTATGTTAGTTAGATAGTTAGTGGGGCTGTTGACTAACGATTTATAATTGTCTTATAAATAGTAATGATATATTGTGATGTGTGTGTGGTGTGGAATATTAAATTTCAAAATCAGTATCTATCTCTTGTTCTCTTTCCTTTTTTATTGTCTGTTTTCAACACCCTTTACATGAAGCAATGGACATCTCGAGCGAGGGACTAAATATTTATGGGTGATTTCTTAACGAGTTGGACAATAAATAACAAATCATTCTAGGATTGACTCTAATACTGTCTAACTCAATATAAAAAATTACTGAGGTTTGCACCCACTTATAGGTTATTATTTGACTATGTCTTTAATCAATGTAGGATCTTCAACAAAAAGCAAAAGTGGAATGCCATCTAATGGGCTTAGCTTTTCAAGTCGTAAGAGTTAGGTTGTTTCCACATTCACTTTGGAAGTCAACTCTTAATATACAATTCTTGTTTGTATCTTTCCTTGATATTCTAAACCTAACATATTATGATAATAATTAGGGTTGTCAAAATAGGCCAAAAAGACTCGGTAAATAGGCCAGGCTAGGACAAAAACTTTATAGCCTTAATTGAATCAAACCTATTTTGACCCGTCTTATTAAGGCTATGACCTATATGGGCTTAGGCCAGGCTAGTTGGTAGTATGGTTATCAAACTCGCGAGTTAACTCGGACGAATTTATGAGTTAGTCGATTCAATTTTTTAGTAAACTCGTGTAAACACAGAGTCAACTTGGTCAAACTTGAGCTGACTCACGAGTTAATTGCTGATTCACGAGTCGACAATGGTTCTTCTTCGACGTTCTATTCTTCTCTCTTCTCCGTGATTGTTTCTCTCCTCCACGCAACATCTCTCTGTCCTTTGCACACGATGGGTTTCTCCTGTGTTTGATGCATCTCTCTCTTCCTTGCGCGACACATTTCTCTCCTTTGCGTGCAACACATCTCACACCTCCATGCGCGATGCGTCTCCCTCCACCATGCGACTAGTCTTACTCCTCTACGTGTGACCGTCTCCCTCCTTCGTGGACAACCATCTCCCTCCTTCGTGGGATGAGACTCGATTAAGATCTCGTTAGTTGGACGCATCTCCCTCCTTCGCTGGTTCCAATTTCTTTTTATGTATATATATATATATATATATATATATATATATATATGTTTTAAATTTCAATTATTTGTATTTTGTTTTTAGCTTTTTTCTTTTAAGAAATTAAGTTTTTTAATTTTTTGTTTATATTTATTTGTAAAAATTAGTTGTCAAAATGATGAAATGCTAATAATCAAGATTAATTTAATTTTTTGTTAAAGTAAAATAAAATAAAATTATATATATTAAATATTTTAGATAAATTTTAAAAATTTAATATAATTATTTTTTATATAAGTAGACTCTTTTGAGTCTACGAGTCGAATCTACGAGTCGAGTTTGCAGAGGTCTCATGAATCCGTTTTATAAAATGGTAATTATTTTTAAATGAAAATATAAAAATAATATTATTTTATTAAAAAATATATATGTATTATAATTAATTTGATAAGGGTTTACTTATTCTAAGAGTAAATATCAGTCTTAATCTCTAATAATCACTTATTCCAAGATCTAAAATTAAGATTAATTATTATTTTATATTAATAAATTACTAAAAATAAATAATGACAATAAAGAGTAAGTTTTTAATTCTTATTTTGGGATGGAATGGATGCATTTTCTTATAATTTATATATTTAATCATTATATCTTAAATAAAAACTAATTTCATTGATAAAATTTAAATTTTAAATTTTTTTTATTTTTTATTTTTATTTGAATATTTTTTTAATTAACTGATTTTATATAAATATATTAACATTTTTTTTTAAATTTCAATCAGGACCTTGGCCCGTTAGCTCGTTGGCCTAACAGAAAATTTTTGTTCTGTTTTAAAATATAGCAATTCAATTTTATTACTTGATCCGCAGGGTCAGGTTAGGTTGGGCTGAATTGTCCGTTTTGGCAACTCTGATTTAGAGATATGTTGGTCCATTATTAATTGTGTCTTTGTTATGACTTGTGATAGGGAACCTTATGCTTGAGTATTATCATAACTTTTCAATATCTTTAAGTTTGGTAAACTCTTGCAAGTTTATAAGTCGAGTCTATTGGTCAAGTTTATGGAAAGCTTTTTGAGGCTATGTAAACTTTGAGTTTGATGATACAATCTAACTTCCTCTTAGTAGTTGTTTAACATCTACTACATTGTAGCTCGGTATGGTCCCTTGATAAATGTACATTATTTTTATTCCATTCCTTTTGGATATGCAGAAAATAGATGAGAAAACAATCAATGAAGTGTTCTTGAAGGTGCTAGATAACTATGTCAAGTGGTGCAGATACTTGCGAATCCGTCTTGCATGGAATAGGTTATTATTTCAACTTCCTCATTTTTTGAATAGAATAGGTTATTATTTCAACTTTTTCATTCATTGAATATCTTCTCAGCAATATTTTATTTGATTGCATTTCATTTAACGCTTCTTGCAGTTTAGAGGCAATTGACCGGGATAGGAAGCTTTTTTTGGTTTCCTTGTATTTTCTTATTTGGGGTGAAGCTGCAAATGTTCGTTTTCTTCCTGAGTGTATTTGCTATATATTCCACCATGTAAGTCTCTAATTGTGCTCTTTATTTTTTGGGCTATCATTCCCTCCAGTAGCATTGTTAGTTTGCTGTCACTAATAATTTTCCAATCACTTCTTATATTTGATCTTTCTTTCTGTGTGTGGGTGAAATCTGATACATCTCTTTATCCTTTTCTTACTTCTGCATTGCATAATATTACAATAATTTAACTTGTTAGAATAGGTTACTTGAGTTCTCTCTATCTATGGAAAGCTACAAATCTGCTTTTGTGGTACCTATCTGTCACCCAGGTGTACTCTTTTCATATGTTCTCTGTGTCTATGATGTAACTCTTTTATATAAATACATGAATTAGCTGAGATCTGTATTAATCTCTTAAGCACTCTTTCTCATATTTTCATTCTTAAGTCTGAAGATGTGAATCTATGGGCTTACTAATAGGTTTACAAGCTGTTTTACTTGTCTCTTGGTACAAATGTGATATTTGTTTGAGATATGAAAATACCTCTTCATTTTCCTGAAAATAATTTTGCCCCCGTAGAGTTTCTAATTGTTGTTTTTTAAGCTCAACTCTTTTGCTAGAGTTTGGCTTACGACTTTTTTTACAGCCATTACTTCTTCTAATAATATTGTCTATATAATACTAAGGGTATGTTTTACCCATCTTTTTGGCGGGTTAGAATCTACTTTAAAATAATAGTTTTAGAAAGTGGTTTAGGCCAACTTAATTCTACAAAACTGACTTGGAATGTAGGATTTGCACCTACTTATATTATAATTTAGTTATATCTTTAGTTAATGTGGAATCTCTAATACACCCTTTTGACCCAAGAACTAGACATCTAGTGGGTGGGACTAAATATTTATGGTTGGTCAAATAACTGTAAACGTTTAGAATGCAAAAAAAGTATTATTGTTCTTTGAGAGAAGGAGAAAGAGAGAGAGGAGAGAAAAAGAAAAACAGAAAGAGAATATCTATTCACACTGAACATAGAATTACAAGAGTCTCTTTATGTAAAATAGAGAGGGTTACAACTGTTATAAAAACAGTAACAAAATAACAAAAGTCTCAACAACTTATTGGAAGATAAACTATTCACACTCTCCTCCTCAAACTTAAGGTGTTTGATGATTTTCAGAAAAAGCAATCACATTGAGTTTGTCCCTTTGAAACAGGAAACGTGTAGGAGATAGGGGTTTGATTAGATCATTAGCCTACTGAACATGAGCTGAAACATGTTGAACATAAAGTCATTTTTATAGGACTTTTTCTTTGACAAATAAGAGATCAATTTCCATATGCTTGGTTCTTCCGTGAAGAATAGGTTTATGATCAAGAGCCATTGCACTTTGGTTTTGACAATAAATGGTAGGAGGACCATGCAATATTCCAAGTTCCTTTAGAAGAGTTTCAATCCACGAGATTACAGCAGTTGTTTGAGCAAATATAGACATTTTATTCAAATGAAACATCTGTACCCTTCAAAGACAATTGTTGAGAATTTTGATAAAGAGATTGTAAGATTACATGGAGTACCTATTTCCATCGTGAGTAAGAGTTATTTTTGGAAGGAATTGTTCAATTACAATGTACTGCTTTTAAAATGAGTACCGCCTACCATCCAAAATTTGATGGCCAAAAAGGTTTTGAATAGAATGGTGGGAACATATTTGTGGTGTTTTTGCTGAGAACAACCTACAGGTTGGGCAAAATTCATTCTGTTAGTGCATGAGGACAAAATTAATAAGTCCTCTGCTGTATCTAGAAGGACACTTATAGACAGATGGGAAAATAAAGAAGTGCATTATCCAGTGTGAAAAGGAGCGTCCTACTTTTGGGGTTAATTTTTGTTTTCCCTAATGCTGTTGTACTTTCATAAGGTTAGTGAAATAGTATTGAGTATCTTACGTATTGTTATTAGAAGCTGTGAGTGAGTGAAGAATTTCCGATTTATTGTGTAAAGGTCGTAAGGGGGTTCCTAACATATGAGGACAAATAATTATGTGCTGAATTCCTATTTCTGCAAGAAACCTGGACAAAGATCTGAACTCACCACCCAGTCAGTTTGACTGCTCTTTAATTGTGACTGAAATTGAAGTTCAGTCATGGTTTTGAATTTTTGAAAAATAGTAAAGAGATCAAATTTCCTTTTAAGTAGATAAATCCATGTAAATTTAGAAAAAGCATTAACAAAAGTTACACAATATCAAAAACCATTGTTTAATACAAGAGAAGGACCCCATAAATCACTAAAAACAAGTTCAAGAGGAGAATGATAAACTGTTTGAAATAAGGAAGAAGGAATTCTACGAGCTTTGTCAATACAACAAGCTGTACACAAATAGGAACCTTCTTTATGAGAAAAAGGAAGATTACATTGCTGAAAGACAATTTTGATTATATGACGATTAGGATGCCCTAGTCTAGCATGCCAAATAGATTGAATATTGGAGTTATTAGTGGTTACAATATTAACAGAAAAAGAAGATTTAGCAAGTGGGGTAGCGATGGACGGAGATGCTTGAAGTTGCATATTTGGAAAAGCATAAAGACCGTCAGGACCAACATATCCATGGACCAACACCTCATTAGTTACCTGAGATTTAACAAAACAGTGATTAGTATGGAATTCAAAGTAAACAAAATTATCCGAAGCCAATTTACTAACACTAATTAAGATTATTAGGAGCAGTAAAATAGGAGGAACCAGAGGATTTAATTTGCAAACCTTGCCATTACCAATGTAAATTTGTTCAGGACCTTCATATGGATTATTGTGGTTAATATTCGGACTAGCTCCAGTATCATGGAAATAAGGACCAAATTCAGGGAATCAATTGGAATTGGAGTGCTGAGGGTTTGGTGTAGGCAGCAAACCAGATTCAGTAATGGTTAAGAAAGCAGTGAGGGGATGTTGTGATTGCTGTGAAGAATTACTATAGTTGCTTGGAGGATAAGAGAGAAGAAACAGAGTGTTGAGGAAAATGTGAATACATATTGTGTTGAGTAAATGGACGAAACTTTCCTTGAAAATTCTCATGTGGATAACCTTGAGAATTTGAGTAAAAGTTGCCTTGATCAAACCTGTGATAACATAAAGAAGCAATATGCCCATACTTCGAACATACTTGACACTCAATACTAGCAAAGCGCCCTCCATGGCATGTCGTCTAGAAACAGAAGCCCGACCACTACAAAAAACATAGGAACCAGGGACAACAGAAACAAAATCTTGATTTTGCACAGGTTGAGGCATGCAAGAAATTCTTCATGATTTTATGAAACAAAATTTGATGTTCGAGTCAAATTAATAGAGGTAGTATCAACAAAACTTTCTTGTGAAACTTTTAAAGGCGTGACTCGTGTAAGTAGAAGGGCTTCAACTTCTTCAAGAATCACATCAATATGTTCTTGAAGAGAAAATGATCTCCCACATAAGCAAGATAATCCACCAAAGACTTTATTTGTAGAAGAAATTCTGCCAATGAAGGATTTTCAATTGTCATCGAATGAAGTTCAATTTGAAGTTGTTGCACTTTTGCTCATGTTTGTTTATGAAAATACTCATGAACTTTATCCCAGACTTGATAGGAATGAACACTTCCAAGAAGACGAGAAAGAAGGGATTTTGATAAAGTAGATTGTAACCATGTTTATTGCATTTGATCCTGCTGCTCCCAGACACTATAAGCCGAACTGATTTTTCCAGCTTTGCAATCTTCTTCGGTAAGAATTTAAAGCGGAATGGACGGATTTTCCACAAAGTATTGAAGATGGTGCAACTTGATGCAGGGCTCCACCTGCTGCCACCAAAGTAGAAAGTTGGAATCATCTAATTTTTTCAGAAATTTATGAAGATAGCGGAGGAAGGGGAAGGAGGAGGAGGAATTTCAACCGTAAAGAATCTTTAGGCTCTTAATATCATATTACTGTTTTTGAGACAAAGAGAGCAAGGAGAGAGAAAGAAAAACTAAAAAAGAATATCTATTCACACACATCACAAAATTACTGAAGAGAGAGGGTTACAATTATTATGAAAACAATAACAGAACATAGAAAGTCTTAACCAATAGGGAAGATACACTATTCACACTACATAAAAAAATTACAAGAGTCTCTATAATAAAGAGAGGGTTACAAATGTTAGAAGAACATTAACTAAAGTCTTAACCACTAGGGAAGATATAGTATTCACACTACATAAAAAATTATAAAAGTCTATATAAAATAAGGAGATGGTTACAACTGTTATAGAAACAGTAGCAAAATAACTGAAGTCTTAACTAATAGGAAGATACACTATTGACACGAAAGGATCAAACCAGTAAAGGGAAACAAGAATTAAAATATTGTATCACTAATGAACAAGTGACTGATATTTTAATAAAGCCTTTCAAGGATGACAAATTCAAATTGATTACAGAGATGGCAGGCGTGTAATTTATTACTAATTTGGATTAAGGGGGAGTTTTGTAGATAATCTAGGTAGTGTTGTATGTTTATCAGGTAGTTAATGGGTTGCTAACTAATGACTTGTATTAGTACTATAAATAGTAATAATGATGTATTGTGATACATGTGTGTGAAACATAAAATTTTAAATTCAGTACCGTATCACTTGTGAGTGTGTTTATTGTGTCCTAGCAGTTGGAACACTCAACAATTGTACACATTTTGATCAAGGCACTGTCAAAAGCTAAATATATAAACTTAAGGTACAAGCTGCATACGATGACATCTATGACCCAACTTGCGGGAGTGTTGGATATTGAGCCAAGAATAGAAAAACTTATATCCGATTATTTCCTAAATCAGCGGAGGAAATATTTTGGTTAAATTATACAGCTAAAATTTAGGAGCAATATCCCCAATTATACATGATAGTTTTTTATTTTTTTCCTTTTCAATAAATTTAAATCTTTTCTATCCCTAATTAAGATCCTGATTTGTTGTACCCTAAAGGCTATTCATTCCATTTGTATCACACATTTCTGATTATGGGAATAAACACTTTTTTTACACTTGTTTTTATGAACCTAAGGATTCCCTTTAACTATGAGTGGTGTGTTTTTTAATCAAAAGTTTTGTTTAACTATCTTAGAATGTGAGTTTAATCCTAATTCTGTTGGGCTTGGTGTGTGGATAATATGGTAGGTGACCCTATTTTAATAGATATAAGGTAGATTTTGATACTATCTTTCAATGTGACTTTGAGCATACTTAATTCTTAAGAATGGGCTTATAAGATGAGAGTTGTCTTTCACTTCTATACTACTTTGTAGGCTTTATCTCTAGCCAATGTGGAACTTGATGTTTTCCTAGTAAATTAAACCACTATGAAACAATTTCTTTGTTTTATATATTACATGCGAGTGTTAGCTTGGAAAATGATAAGTCTCTAATTACCAGTGTACAGATACCCTCACAAAGAAGAAATATTAAATTTCAAACCTCCCTATTTTGTCATATTTTATTAAGAAGTTTAAGTACATTTTAATATTGTCATGTATCTATTATAAATATATTGTATACTTTGATTCAAAATGTTGGGCACTGGAAATTTTCAATCCGTTGTTCATATCACTCTTTTATCAAAATATTCCTATTCACTTTTTTCTGTTAAATATATGGTGTCACTGTGCTTTGGTTTTACTTTGGTTATACCCATCTTCATAATTTTAAGTATTTTATGTATACAAAGTTTAACAATAAACATTTCAAGTCACTTTTAATACTAAATATTTTAGCCATTATGTGTTTTATAGATGCTAAGGAGTTGGATGTTGTTTTATCACTTTTAATGCTAAATGTTTTAGCCATTATTATGTGTTATATATAGATGGCTAAAGAGTTGGATGCTATTTTGGATCATGGAGAAGCTAGACCTGCACTCAGCTGCGTAACTGATGATGGTTCTTCAAAATTCCTTGAGAAAATAATTTGTCCTATCTATGAGACGCTAGCTAAAGTGAGTTGCTTTATTCACTCTGCACTTTTATGTTCCAAATCTTATTATGTATCACTGTTCAAATTTATTTGTTGAAATGGTGGCAACTTACCTTTTTGTTGTGTAAAGAAATCACCCATCCCTATATTCACTTTTTGGGCAATTGAAACTACTGTGGTAAAATGGCTCACCTCATGGAATTTCCTGTTAAGCGAGGAACTATAGTAAAGTTTGATAACTGGATATAGATGCTGTTCAATTACTAGGTTTACTAGTCTTTTTTATTGTTTTGCTTGATCGAGTTTGGGTTGTAGTAGTTGTTCTATACTAATACTTGACCTAGATTAGTTGTATAAATTGGTGTTGGTGCTTTGTATTGTACATTTACATTTTTTTATATTTATATTTTTTTATATCTAGTAAAATTGACTTAAATTTTATTTTGACCCAGACTCTTAGTTACTAATTTGAATCATGTAATTTTCAAAACTTGTAAAGTGGAACTCTTTATTGGACACTTAATTTTGACTAAATTCTAATTCCATTGTAGACTAAATGCATTTCAAATGTGATACATGAAATGCATAGAGTTATTCTAACACTTCCTCTCAGTCTAGAACATTCATGTGTCAAGTTTACAATTAGATCCAACCTAGGTCATTGTTAAGGATTTTGTGAAATATACTTGTTTGTATTTACCTTATCAGCAAATCTGTGTATGTGTGTCTATATGTGTGTGTGTGTGTGTGTGTGTGTGTGTGTGTGTATATATATATATATATATATATATATATATATATATATATATATATATATATATATATATATATATATATATGTATATATATATATATATATATATATATATATATATGAGAGAGAGAGAGAGAGAGAGAGAGAGAGAGAGAGAGAGAGATGCAATGCTATAGCACAATTACTCTTATTGATAACACTCTTTATAGAGGCTTCATTATATATGTAAAATCTGTTGATTATACATGATGCATTAGTGTTATATACAGTTGTATTTATTTATTTATTCCATTACATGACGCCATCTCCCCATAAAATGTTATGTAGGAAGCTAGTAGAAACAACAATGGGAAAGCTGCACATTCAGCATGGAGGAATTATGATGACTTCAATGAATACTTTTGGTTAGCAGCACTCTACTACATAATAATTTGCCTTTTGGATGGACTTATTCTAATGTGCAATAATATGTAGGTCGCCTGCTTGTTTTGAGTTAAATTGGCCAATGAGACCGGAATCACCATTCTTGCGAAAACCTACACCTTCAAAACGGTCAAAAAGGGTAAGTTTTACTTAACGTTAAGAAACAGGAAAATATAGTTTGGATGGCTTAATCACCCCTCTTAATCATCTTCTATTTATATTGAAAAGTCTGATACAAGAGAGCATAGAAGATCTAAGGTCACACTAGACACCTAGGTACAAAATTAGGTACAACAGTAGGACAACTGGTAGATGTTTCCAACACACTACCCCTTACTCAGACTTAATAATTACACATAGATTAAATAATTATTCTAACACTCCCCCTCAAGCTGGAACATACAAATTGTATGTACCAAGCTTGGAACAAATGAACTCAATCTGAGGTCCTCTCAAGGACTTGGTCAACATATCTGCAAGTTTGTCATTTGATCCAACAAACTCAGCACAAATTTCTTTGGACAATAATTTTTCCTGAAGAAAATGACAGTCAATTTCTATCTGTTTGGTCCTTTCATGAAATACTGGTTTGATGCGATGTGGAGAACAACTTGGTTATCACAATATATTTTCATGGTCTGAACTTCACAAAAATTAAGCTCAAAGGAATTGTTTTACTCATATAAGTTCACAAGTAAGAGACGCCATTCCCCTGTATTCAACTTCAATAGTTGATCGGACCACTACATTTTACTTCTTACTTTTTCATGAGATAATATTTTCTCCAAGGAAAACACAATATTTTGTAATAGAGCGTCTATCGGTTGGGGAACTTGCCCAATCAGCATCACAATATCTAGAGACTTGGACATTTCCTTTATCTTCAAATAGCAAACCTTGTCCTGGAGCCTTTTTGAGGTACCTAAAAATACGAATGATGACATTCCAATGACCAATACATGGGACCTGCATGAACTGACCAACCACTCCAATTGCAAAAGATAGATTAGGCCTTGTAATATCAAGATAAATTAGCTTTCCAATTAGTCTGTTGAAAGTCCCACATCGCCTACCTCGTGTCATTTGGTATGGTTTAAATACATGTTAGGCTACTCCACATATTGCCAATTGGTTTTATGTTGGAACCTTAACATGGTATCAGAGCCAAAGCCTACATCTTTCCGAATATTGTCATGGGCCAAAAGTTGCCCTTTAGTTGGGTCAAAAGTACCCTTTGCCTGGTCCGGCAGGCTTCATTGGAGGGGGCATGTTGAAAGTCCCACATCGCCTACCTCGTGTCATTTGGTATGGTTTAAATACATGTTAGGCTACTCCACATATTGCCAATTGGTTTTATGTTGGAACCTTAACATCGCCTATATCTTTCTGGATCAGGGAATGATTCACCTTCTTTCGTCATTAGTTTTTTATTTTGGTCCTTAGGATTATCTACTTGCCTATAGTCAAACATACCTGTCTCTTGTAGGATGTCATGACCGAACTTCCTCTGAGATAACAACCTCATCTTTTGACTGAGCTACCTCAATGCCGAAAACATATTTAAGAATCGCAAGATCCTTGGTTTGAAAATGTTTGCACAAGTACTCCTTTAATTAAGATATTCCAGCCACATCATTTCCTATAATGACTATATTATCAACATAGACTATCAGGTAAATACATTTCTTAAGATGGGTTACAATAAAAAACTGAATGATACGCTTCACTACGTTTTAGCCCAAATTTTTGAACAACTAAGGTGAATTTACCAAACCAAGCACGTGGTAATTGTTTGAGGCCATAGAGAGAGCGACACAACTTACAAACCTTACCAGACTCCCCCTGAGCAATGAACCCAGGAGGTTGCTCCATGTATACTTCCTCTGCAAAGTCACCATGTAGAAAGACATTTTTGATATCCAATTGATGGAGTGACTAATGACTAATTGCTACCATGGCAAAAAATGGCGGATAGTAGTCATCTTGGCCATTGGAGAGAAAGTATCATTATAATTGATGCCATTAATTTGAGTGTACCCTTTTGCAACTAATCGTGCCTTGAGACAATTGACTTCTCCATTAGGACTAACTTTAGCGGTATAAACCCATCGACACCCAACTGCCTTTTTTCCAAGTGGGAGGGAAACCCCAAGTATTACTCTCGTCGAGAGCCTACATTTCTGCAATCATGACTTGTCGTTATCTAGGATGATCAAGTGCTTTCGTCACATTTTTGGGAATGGTAATAGAAGACACTGAGGATAGAAAAGAAAATTATAAGTAGGATGTGAGTTTCGAGTGGAACAAGTGCCTTTTCTAAGAGCAATGGGCCAACCTGAATCTTCTTCATCAAGAGTCGTGGTATTGTGTGACGATGGAGTAGAATTTGAAGCAGAGGATTCACCTTGTTCTTGGATAACTGAACTAGTTATTTGGGTCCCATGGATATCAATAGGAGGACTTTGACCAAGACTGGGATTAACTGAGATACTGGAATTAGTGGACTCGACTAATTGTATAGGGAGGACCTGCTAAATGCCATGCACATCTTTTGAACGAATGAAGAAAAATAAGGAGTCTGTTCAAAGAATGTAACATTAGTAGACATATAATATTTTTTATTTTCAGGAGAGTAACACTGGTACCCCTTTTAAAGTCGAGAATAGTCCAAGAAGACACATTTGATCGCACGAGCAAACAACTTGTCCAACCCTGGACACATGTCATGAACAAAATACACACAACCAAACATATGGGGAGAAATGTGAAAGAGAGGATAATTTGGAAAAAGAATGGAGAAATGAACCTTATTATTGAGAGAGGAGGATGACATCCTCTTAATAAGAAAACATGCAAACATGCAGATATGATGATATCCCCCAATGATGGACATGAATATTAACACAAAGCAATAGGGTATGAGTAGTCTCAACTAGGTGTCTTTTTTTCCTTTCTGTTATACCATTTTGCTATGATGTGTGAGGACAAGTGGACTGATGTAATATACCATGCAAACTCAAGGTTGCAGAAAAATTGGATGATAAATACTCTTTGGCATTATCACTTCTTAAAAGTTTGATTACTTGACCAAATTGGTTCTTGATTTCATTAAAAAAAAGGATGTGAAGATAGACAACAATTTAGTATGGTCTTTCATAAGATAAATCCAAGTACATCTCGAGTATTCATCAATGAATGTGACAGGACTCACATTCTAAGATTTGGAGACTACTTTTTTTAACTTTAACAAATGAGGATGACCTAACCGTTCATGTAACAATTTAGGACTTCGGGTTGCAACACAGGAAACATGTGGACTAGATCCAAAATGGTATAAACCTCCATCTTCATGTCCTTATCCAATTCGTCTCTCTGAACCATGATCTTGTATAATAAAAGACTTGTTATCAAAGGTTATTGAACAATTTAATGTTTTGGTTAACTGATTTATTGAAATTAAATTGAAGGGACAATTAGGGACAAAAAAGACAAATTTTAGATTTAGGGAAGGAGATAAGGAGACTTGATCGACTCCCTTTGAGGAAACTTTAGAGCCATTTGCCAAGGTTATGAAATGATGTTTTTCTTGAAAAGAAAGGAGTGAGAACAAAGAGGTATTACCAGAGATGTGATCAGAAGCACCTGAGTCAATTATTCATGAATTTTGACCTTCCATGGATTGGGAAATATAGGCTGTTGATGTACTCGAAGTTTTAGATGTTTGTGCCATGTTAGATTTTAACCTAACATACTCTTGATTTGCTTCTGTTGAAAGTCCCACATCGCCTACCTCATATCATTTGGTATGGTTTAAATACATGTTAGGCTACTCCACATATTGCCAATTGGTTTTATGTTGGAACCTTAACATGGTATCAAAGCCAAAGCCTAACATCTTTCCGGTTATTGTCATGGGCCAAAAGTTGCCCTTTAGTTGGGTCAAAAGTACCCTTTGCCTGGTCCGGCAGGCTTCGTTGGAGGGGGTGTGTTGAAAGTCCCACATCGCCTACCTCATATCATTTGGTATGGTTTAAATACATGTTAGGCTACTCCACATATTGCCAATTGGTTTTATGTTGGAACCTTAACAGCTTCCTCAGTGAATCTTGAGTTGACAGTTTCAGTCTTAAAGACATTGGCTGTCTTGGCAGGAAAACCATGCAAGAAGAAGTAGTTTTCTTGGGTGTGACCCATCCTTTTACATTATGTACACTGAGGACACCCTCAACCATCACGTCCTCCCTTAGTGACACGTCCTCCTCTTCCTTGTGTGACAACCATGACAAATGGTTTTGCTGGTTCATAAACTTCCTTGCTTTAAGGCGTTGAGACTCGAAGGAGGCGTGTGGTCAAGCTATCCATGGAAGGGACCTCATGACTGGTAAAAAGTTGATCTCAGAGATGATCAAAGTTTGGGTATAAAGCACGGAGGATCATCACCATATAATATTTATCAAGTTTTTTCTTGATTTCATCCAAAGGTTCTACTTCCAAGAACATCTTTAGCTCTTCAACTGCAGATTGTGCTTCGGTCATGAAAGATACTATATCATGGTCAGTTTGTTTGAGAGATGCAAGTCTGTTGGTAGAATTATAAAGATATTGAATATCATTTGCATAAATGTCTTGAACTTTCTTCCAAAAAAGGTGGCAAGTTTTAAAGGCTATAAGAGAAATCAAAAGCCTCGGTTCCACAGTTTGCCATAGCAGGGCACACAACTGGAAATCAACTTGCTTCCACTTTTCAGCCTTTTCAGGAGGCACATGGCTTCCATCTTTCTCAAGGTGGTCATGATAACTTTGGCCAAGGAACCATATTTCGACAGATGCAACCACGGAAGGTAATTTTTCCATTTAGTTTTTCAGAAGTAATGGAAGGACTTCCAGAGAATGAAACAACAACTCCACTAGCCATTTTTGTTGATAGAGAGCCATAAAACAATTGGGGCAGAGAGACCCCTAAGGTGAACTTTGCTAGGATGGCTTTTGGACTTCGCCAAAATGAAGTTTTGAGGGTCAGAATAGGAAGGCAAGGCTCCGACGATACCCACGGAGGTGGTGCAACAACATTCAGGTGGGGAGAGGGCGGTGCGTGAGTGACACACGCTTGGTTGCAGGCGATTTTGACTAGGCGGGTGGCAGCATGTGGGAGGGAACTGGCTTCCGAGATCGGCAGGGTTGGTCGTCGGTCGAGGAGACGATCCAGATCCGATGGTCGCTGGAAGAAATTGTGACGGTGGACAACGACTCTGGAGATGACTGAGACAGGCAAAACAGGATCAACCCGCTTTAATACCAACTTAATATTAGGAAACAAGAAAATATAGTTTGGAGGGCTTAATCACCACTCTTAATCATCTTCTATTTATATTGAAAAGTTTGATACAAGAGAGCATAGAAGATCTAAGGTCGAACTAGACACCTAGGTACAACAGTAGGACAACTGGTAGATGTTTACAACACACTACCCCCTACTCGAGGCTTAATGATTACACATAGATTTAATAAATATTCTAACAGTTTTAATGCTTCTTTTAAGAATATGATAACTTCTTTTGCTAGTTATTTTTACTGTTTTTTCTTAATAAATATAATGTTTATATAATTTATTTTCTTGTATCTGGTTTGCAGACTGGTAAAAGCAGTTTTGTTGAGCATAGGACATTTCTTCACTTGTATCGAAGTTTCCATCGTCTTTGGATCTTCTTGGCATTAATGTTTCAGGTTCCTTTTTGTCATCCATGCTTATTAATCTGAACTCTGAATGCTGATTATGCATTTAGGAAGTACCGGCATCTTGTAGAATAGCTTGTAGGTGTGTCCAACACTTTGGACACAACTCTTATTGGACACAACTTTTGACATGTGACCCATCAACCATGTTGTAATTGAAAGTATTTTTTTTTTTTTTTTCTTAGACACACTTCTTCAACACAGTTTCGAAAGCTCTCTGACACAGTTACAGCATGACTAAATAGAGTGAATCAATGCCTACTCTTGACTAAACACTTGTATCCAAATAGGAAAAAAAAAACAATAAAAGAGTTAACTTATTGCAAGACTCAACATTATTTTGAGGTTCGTTTCGATTGTTCATAAATTTTTCTAGAAATTAAGATGGTAATGCTAATGCATCACAATGTTAATCGCCATTGCAACTGTGTTGTCACTATGATTAGCAACAATCAGACCCCCAAAACCATAAAAGGAAGGGAAAACAATACAAAGAATGGGGTAACTAGGCCAAAATTCATTAAAACCTAATGAAAAATTAAACAAGTTAGAGATTTCGAAGGAAAGGAATTATAGAATTTTGCGGGGAATCAGCTGTATTATTTATCAAAACAAGTAAATAATAGAAGAAAAGAATCCTACTGGCATAGACTAACTCGTACAGAAAGGCTACTGATCTGGTCCATAACGAAATGCACAGAATCAGATAATGATTCTTTCTCTCTCTCTCTCCCCGAATCATTCCTTGTATATCCTCCACTCACTACTCACCCATAAAGTCATTCTGTTATATCATATAAGTTTCCGCCTTACCATTACTCCTTTTATCTCTATTCCTCCTAACATATACCCTTGAAACCTTGAGTCTGCTGTCTGTGTGTGGTAGACTTTCCCTTTTCTATTGGAACCTACCTCTGAAAACAGCAGGGATTAGAAAAGGAGGGTTACTATCCCACCATGTGTAACACTGTCCAAATGCCATAATTTGCTAGTTTTTTTGCACAAGAATTCCCTTCCTTAAAATTATGAAGTATGTATCATCATATGTTTTCTCTTATTCATACAATTGATGCATCAATTGCATAATCTCTAAGGCACTATATTGATATTAAAACTAATAAAAGCTTGATCAACAAGTATCAAATCACTCTCCAGCCATATCTTTGTCCATCCTTTAGCAGGATGACCAGCCACCCCAAAAGCTTAGAATAATGAATTCAGCATTGCTATATTTCATTGTGCCTCGAAAATGATTCCCGGTAAGATGTACGTTTGAATATATTTTATTTTTCAGACTATTATTCTTTATTTTCCCATTGGTCAAAGTGATTCCCTGTAACGGCTGCTTGCAAGTCTGCTCTAGCGTGAATACTCCAACCTCTAATTAGCAAACGAAGAAATATTATTTTTAATATTCTATTGAGAGTTAGTTGTTATTATATGAAAACTGTAAAGCTTAGTAATTTACTTTTACTATGTGAAATATATAAATCTTGATTATCAATTGCAATTTTTGTCATGTTCATTCTATATAAAGCGTTGTGCCCTTGTCCTACATTTTGGTTTAGTTGTGCCCTGATGTCTGTGTCGAGTCAGTGCTTCATAGTGGATGATGAATTAATGCATAACATATGTCTAATTCCTGTTCCATCCAGGCTTTAACAATCATTGCTTTCAATCATGGACATATCAACTTGGATACTTTTAAAACAATACTTAGCATTGGGCCTTCATTCGCAATCATGAATTTTACTAAGAGTAAGTAAGATGTTTGTGTTTTTACTGTTATTACTTTTTCAAATGCCCAGTGATTTTGAAACTATTATTTTTATGATGAATAGGTTGCTTAGATGTGTTACTTACATTTGGGGCATACACGACTGCACGGGGCATGGCTGTTTCAAGACTAGTTATAAGGTTTTTCTGGGGCGGCTTGACTTCTGCTTTTGTAACATATCTTTACCTGTGAGTTTAGAATTCTCCATTTAATATTTTGTCATGTAGTTAACAGTGTTATCTTGTGATATTGGTTTGATTTGATGAGGCAAAGTGATTGTGATCAGGTCTGAATTACGGATATATAGGTAGATGTTTAATTATAACCTAAGATGGCCCATTAAGATCTATATGACATAATAAATACAAAAGGAGCTTTTCTGACATAAGGTTTCCAACACTCCTCCTCAAGCTAAAACATATAATTTGAATGTACTACACTTGGATTCAATCATGGTTTCTTTGTACGACACTTTCTCTAAACAAAATGACAATTAATTTCTATATTTTTAGTCATTTCATGTAAATACTGGATTAGAGGCTGTGAATGACCACTTAGTGGATGTAATATAGCTTCATGTGTTAATCCAGACAAGTTCACATGTGCAGGCCATGGCATGATATTGTGCTTTAGTACTGCATCAGACAACTACGTTTTGTTTATTGTTTTTCCAAGAAACATTTCTTCCAATGAATATAGAATATCCTACAGTAGAATGTCTATCGACTGGTAATCTACCAAATATGCATCACACTACCCGATAATTTGGGTGTTTTCCCTTATCGTTGTACAACAATCTCTGACTTGAAGCCTTCTTGATGAACATCTAAGATTGCTAATTACATTCCAATGATCAATATGAGGGAATTGCAAAAACTAACTACCCAAAGAAGTAAGGAAATGTCAAGCCTAGTAATAGCAAGATAAATAAGTTTTCTAACCAACCTTTGATATATCTCTGGATTGGAGTTAGACTCACCCTGATTTGTCATTATTTTTTAATTTGGATCCTTGGGACTATCAATAGTTTTACATTTTTCCATGCTCGATTTCTCTAAAATATCTTAAGCATACTTCCTTCTTCAAATCACAATGCCTTCTGTTGATTAAGCAACTTAAATTCCAAGTTTGAAAATGACTGAACAAGTGCCACTTTAGGCAAGAAAGGCATTCTTAATATTTTACTGGTGAAGAGTTCAATGTTGAATTAGTAGCCATAGAAAACATGTTTGCAAATACTTTTTACCTAACTAACATGTCTTACAATCAAACACTCGTGATCTTTCAAAATCAGGAATAATTTTCTTTAACTTTTAGAAGTTTGGGTCAGCAATTATGAAGAAGTATTGGTGATGGGGCTGCAGCATAGGACACCTGTACCACATTCCTGTATCAACATTGAATGTTACATTGCAATATAATGACTGGGTCATTGACTTAAAAGAGATTAATCTGAAAGGTCAATTAGGAAAAGAAGCTAGATTTTTGATTTAAAGATGGAGGGAGATACTTGTACAATTCCTTTGGTTAGCAGAAAGGTTAGCAGAAGTACCTGAATGTATTATCCATTGACCGTGACTATGCATAGATTTTGAAACACAAGTTGTTGAAGATGACTTGGCTTGATGGTTGGATTTTATCTGAAAATACTCTTTATACCCATCTTTGGAAAACATATACTCATTTATATTCAGAAACATTTACTGTCTTAGAAAAACCATTCAACAAGTAGCATTTTTCCTTAGTGTGTCCAATCCTCTTACCATAAAAAAAGTCAAGGATGCCCAAAACTAGCTTTAAGAACATCTTCAATTCTCATAATGCATATATGGGCTTGATCAATAAAAGAAATCACTATCAACGGCTAGATCTATGTGTTTGAGAGAAACCAACACTTGAGAAAATTGATTAGGGTTCCAATACAGTGTAAAAAGACATTGTTACTTTTGTATTTATAAAGAGATACAAAAGAAAAGGTGTGGACCTTAGCCCAAAACCTTAATCCTAGTCTAAGGAACATACACACAATAAAAAAATATAAGTTAAACAGTAAAACATGAGCATATCTCAACACTCCCCTTCAAGTTGAAGTATATAGATTGTATGCACCATGCTTGGATTATATGTTGAACGGAAACATTAACATGTAACATTAGAGAGCGTGCAATCATAATAAGGTACTTATTTTTCCTTTCCGCTATACTATTTTATTGTGGGGTGTGAGGACTAGTGGATTGATGTAAAATGCCTTGGGAAAATAAAAAAGAAGAAAGAGGTAGAAAAATATTCTTTAGCATTATTACTTAGAATTTTAATTATCTTCCAAAATTTGTTCTTAATCTCATTAAAAAAGGACACAAATTGATAAGAGTTCATATTTGTCTTTCATTAAGTAAAGCTAAGTACATTGCAAAATTTATCAATGAAGGTCCCAAAATAGTGAAAACTAAAAGAAGAGACAAGACTCGGTCCCCAAATATCAGAATGAATATTGGAAAAAAAGAAAATTACATTGAGTTTTAGATTGTTTAGGAAATGAAGACCTAATATGTTTTCCTAATTGATAAGATTTACATTCTAAAATCCGAAAGTGTTTGAGATTAGTAGCCATAACTTTCAACTTAGGTAAACTTGAGTGGCCTAGACGATCATGCAAAAGTTTAGGAGCAGGAGTAGCAAGACATGACACCAAAGGGGTTGGATTTAGATAATACAGGCCACATGATTAATGTCCTTCTCCAATTAGACAAAACATACCATGTTCTTGAATAATAAAAAAATTGAATTACAGGTTACAAAACAATTCAAAGAGGAGTCAATTGATTTACAGGAATCAAGTTATAAAGATTGGAATGAAAAGAACAAAGTTAAAATTTAGTGAAGGAGTTAAAGGAACTTGGCCAACTCCTTGAGGTACGTTCCTAGCACCACGTCCCCCCCCCTCCCCCCGCGTCTATGAGGAGCAACCATGACAGAAGTTTCAGTACCCTTAACTTGACTTTTATCTTTCATAAGGTTGGGTACATGAATAAGCATCTTGACTAAGTTGTCCATTTAAGTAACTTGATTATTAGCGAAGATTTGATGAAGCACATGATCAAAGTCAGGATGTAAACTCCTCAAACTCAACAATATACAACTTATCAAGTTTGGCATTCAACTTTTGTAAAGTACTTGCCACTAGAAACCTCTTCAACTCTTCTATAGTAGCCCTAGCCTTTACAATATGAGACACCTTGTCATGGTTGGTTTGGTTGAGCGATGTCACCATTTGAGTTGCATCAAAGAGATGCTGAATATCATTAGTGAAAATATATTGTGCCTTTTTCCAAAAAGAACATGTTTTGAATGAGCATAGGATTTCAAGAACTTCTGGTTCACCGACTGCCATAATTTTGCGCAAAGTTGAAAATCTTTTTTCTACCATTGGAACCTTTTAGAGGCAGAAACAGAAGTGACTTGGCAGCGTTGAGTCGTGCTCCTCAAGGCGGACCAAATCCTGACTTTGCCGGTCAAAATTGTGTTGGTGTGATGGAAATCATAGTGGGATCTTTTATTGCTCTAATACCAACTTGAGAAAATTAAGTAGATCATTGTGACTAATAATATCTAAAATATGTAGAATATCTAAAATATCTAACTCTTCCCCTCAAGCAGATGCATATAAATCATATGTACCAAACTTATTACAAATATAATCAATTGTAGGTCTCCGTAAAGACTTGGTAAAAATATCTGCTAACTATTCACTTGAGTTAACAAACGCAGTTTTAATGTCTCCAGATACAATCTTTTCTCGAATAAAATGACAATCAACTTAAATGTGCTTGGTCCTTTCATGAAAGACAGAATTAAAACTAATATGACGAGCAACATGATTGTCACATATAAGTGTTATTTGAGTTATATCTTCAAATTGTAATTCCTTAAATAATTGTTTAAGGCAAAAAGTTCACAATTGGCTGAGGCCATAGCTCTATATTCTGCTTCTGCACTAGATCTTGCTACAACACTTTGTTTCTTGTTCTTCAAAGAGATCAAGTTAAACATAGTATCAGGAAGTAGATATCCTATCAAAAGGAGATCCTGCCCAGTCAACATCTGAATAACAAACAACTTTAGCCTTGATATTATGATCATAGAACAAACCTTTTTCGGGAGATACTTTAATGTACTTTAATATATGAATGACTGCACTCCAATGATTTGCCCATGGGAAATTAAGAAATTGACTCACCACACTAACAAGGGAAATGTTAGGACGAGTAATAATTAGATAGTTTAATTTTCCAACTAATCTTCTGTACTTCTCAGGATATGAGAGAGACTCCCCCTAATTAGGTAGGAGTTTGGTATTTGGATCCATGGGTGTGTTAACAGATTTTGAGTTTATCAACCTAGTTTTTTCTAAAATATCCAATGCATACTTTCTCTAAGATATAACAATGCTATTATTGGATTGTGCTACCTCAATCCCCAATAAATATCTAAGTTTGTTAAGATCTTTGGTCTGAAAATGATGACAAAGGTGTTGCTTCATCTGGGACATGCCATGGTGGTCACTCCCTGTAAGAACAATATCATCAACATATACTATTAAATAAATACACCTAACACTTGAGTGACGGTAAAATATTGAATGATCTGCCTTATTGCGAGTCATATCAAACTATTGAATAATACTGTTAAATTTTTCAAACTAGACCTTATGATACTGTTTTAGGCCATATAAAGATTTGTGGAGACGACATTTTTGACATCCAGTTGGTAAAGATACCATTGTTAAAGAACATTCATGATTATGAATAAGCGAACATAAGTCATTTTTGCCATTGGAGAAAAGGTATCACCATAGTCCAAACCAAAAATTTGTGTGTAACCTTTGGCCATAAGATGAGTTTTGAGACGATTAATAGTACCATCAGGACTAACTTTTATGGCAAAAACCCACCTGCAACCAACAACGGATTTCCTAGACGGAAATGGAATGAGTTCCCAAGTGCCACTATTCCGAAGAGCACTCATTTCATCAAGCATGTCCTGACGCCAACCAGGATGGGCTAAGGCATCACCAATGGATTTGAGAATAGACACAAAAGAAATGAATGAAAGGTAGGTATAAAAAGGTCGATGGTAACTCAAAGCAATATAATGAGGAGAGGAATTACGAGTAGAATATATACTCTTATGGATGACAATTGGAAGGTCAAACTTAGTTGTCAGGGTCAGAGGAGACAAAGGAGTTGACACTAGATATGAGTCGTTTGGTAGTTGTTGGGATCGTTGTCTTCAACTATAAATCTAAAGTGGTAGTGACAAAGGAGTATCCGAAAGTGGACTAACAAGAGAATCACACACAACAGGAATATTGACAGTAGCAGACGATGACACACACAAAGATAAAGGATATTTAAAGTAAAATGAAGAATCATTAAAGGTGACATGTAGAAATAAAATAACGGTTGGGAAGGAGAGAAAAACTTATATTTTTTTTGTGATCGAATAAATCCTATAAAAACACATTTTTGTGACTTAAGAGATAACTTATCAAGATTAGGACTAAAGTTATGAACAAAACATATAGACCTAACAACTTTAAGAAGTGACGAATGTAGAGGTTCATGAGGAAATAAAAGAGAATGGAGAATGTTATTATTTAGAACTCAAGATGGCATGTGATTGATAACATGTAGTAAGAACAACATTACACAAAAAATGTTTAGGAACCTCAACATGAATTAAAAGAGTGCGAGTTATTTCAACAAGATGTCTATTCTTGTGCTCAACCACCCGATTTTGTTTAAGTGTATAAGCACATGAAGTTTGATGAAGAATGCCATGAGAAACCATAAAATATTTAAAAGAACGAGAAAGGTATCCACGACCATTATCACTTCGCAACATTCAAATAAAAATCCCAAATTGAGTTTTAATTTCATTGAAAAAAGATTGGAATATGGAAAACAACTCAGAACAATTTTTCATTAAAAACAACCAAGTACTTTTGGAATAATCATCAATAAAGGTAACAAAATACTGAAAACCTAAATTGGACTTAACATGACTGGGTCCCCAAATGTTAGTGTAAACTAATGCAAAAGGGGACGAAGAACGTTGTGAGACACTTCAAGGAAATGGACTACGACTATGTTTCCCTAATTGACATGACTCACATAACAGACTAGATAAATTGGACAAACTGGGAACAAGCTGCTGCAATTTGGCAAGACTGAGGTGACCTAGTTGAGCATGAATGAGTGATGAAGACTCCATAACTGTGCCAACATGTGTATAATGACAGAGATGTTAAAGACCATACGACTCACATCTGGTGCCAATCATTTGTCTCAAACTCCGGTCCTATAAACCAAAAGATTCTTTGGTTAAAGAAATAACACAATCAAGAGAACTGGTTAGATGACTAATGGATAATAAGTTAAAGGGAGACCCAAGGACATAAAGAACATTATCAATGGATAAAAATGGAATAAGTTTAACAGCACTAACATCATGAGACAAAACGCTAGACCCATCAACCATTGTAATTGAAGGTAAATTATCCGGAGAGGAGAAAAAAAAAAACAAGGATTTATTCTTAGTAATATGATCTGTGCGTGCAACAGAAGTAGTAGAACTAGAGTTCTGACGATCCTCATGTCATTTGAAAAATTTATTGAAAATAACAGATTTGGATACGGTATTAGAGGAAGTCGGATCCTTAGTAGATGATTGTGAGGGAGGATCAGTTTGGAGAATTGCAGTAGGTCGATCCGGACGATCATGTAATGCATAACATCTATCAATCTTGTAGCCTAGCTTATGACAATGATCGTACTTGTTACGTCTTTTTCTTTGCTTGCGATTATCGCATTGAGATGCCAAAACAGAGGAATCATCGGTAGAAGCAGATATATTACTGATGTATTTTCTTGGCACACACAAAAGGGTGGAACATATAGAAGTGAAATTGGGCACAATAGGGGAACCCAAAATCTGATCACGGACCTGGAAATATTTGTCAACAAGCCCATGTAATGCCAACAACATGAAGAACTTTGATCGTTGCTCTAGTTCTTGGGCAGGAGTAGAGACAGGAGGTAATAACTGATTAAAGTCATGAAGAAGAGGATGAATTTTACCCAAATATTCATCTCATTGGGCCATGACTTCGAGGAACAACAACATTGAGAAGATCGTGACAAACCCCATAAATATTCATCTCATTGGGCCATTAGTGTATAATAATTTTGCCTGTTCCCAAACCTCGAAACACGTTTCGTATGCATGAAACATTTGCTTTAAAGAGGAGTGAATGGTAAACTTGAGAATGATGCATAACTGAGCATCAATTTTCATCCAACGGGAAACTTCAATGGTAACAATAGTTGTCACATTCTGAGAAAGATGATTAACATACCCCTTACTCTTAAGCTAAAGTTTAATGTCTGACGCCCAAGTTGCAAAATTAGTGCCATCTAATTTATCAATAGACAAGTGTACGTTCACATAATTAGTATTGATTGACGTGTCAGACAAATTGGTGGTCGAAGAAGAGATATCGGAAGAGGCAGTAGAAGAAGCCATTGAGGAAAAAAACCCTAAAAACTTTAAATAGCACATGGAGACTCCGATTGTGGCGATCTCAATGGCGTGGTGGTCGCCTAGTCAAGACAAGAAGAATGGTGCGGTTGCCGGTCTGAATTGTAATGCCGGTGATGACGGTGACGGATGCAGTGATGGCGACTTCGGTGATAATGGCGGTTCCGGCGACGGAGGCAGCGGAGGCGGCTTTGGCTGGTGCAAGGGTAGGGATGGCAAAACGGGCCAGCCCGCCCCGTTTTGGCCCGTCCCGCCTTTGACCCGCCAAAAGCGGGGCGGGCCCGATATAATCATGACGGGCTGTAGACCTTGGCCCGCCCCGCCAAGGGGCGGGTTGGTGGGCTGGCGGGTTGGCCCGCCATAATTTAGAAAAAAATAATTTTTTTTAATAAATTTAATAATAAGATTATTATTTGTTTGTCAATAATTCAATATATATATATATTATTTTAATTTAATAATATAAATTAATACATTATTTTAAGAAATTATAATTTAGATCAATAATAAAATTTACATAATAATAAATAATAACAAATATATATATATATATATATATATATATATATATATATATATACGTTAAACTTATAAAATTTATATTTTTTATATTGAAAAATTCAAATACCTATATCTTTTTTATTTGATAAAACTTCATATTATTCTTGGTTGAGTAATTCTTACACCTTTAATTTAAGTAATAAGGATAAAAATAATCGAGTGCTTGGGATAAATAAGGAGAACAAGAGAGAAGGTTACATTTCGGGAAGGAGAATATTTTCTTTGAGAATGAAACTTTTTTAATTCTCTTTTTAAAATTTTTAACTTTATATATTATCTTTGTAATTAATTTTATTACAATAAAAAATTATTTTTTTATTAATTAGGCGGGCCGCGGGCTGGCCCGCCCGTCCCACGGGTTGGTCCGACGGGTTGGCGGGGCGGGCCAAAGCGGGCCGGTGGGCTGAAAACACCAACCCGCCCCGCTATATTGTGGCGGGCTGGCGGGCCGGCCCGCCGGGCCTAGCCCGTTTTGCCATCCCTATGCAAGGGTAGTCGGCAAAAAAAGAGAAAAAGAGAACCTAAGTTCTAGATACCATGTTAAATATAGTGAAAATTAGGTATAAGATTAATTCCCTTTGTGTCTTAAAACACACGTAGGATAATATATTTATAATTAAGAGCCATATAAATAAATATGATAAATGCATATATTGTGACTAATAATATTTAAAACATCTAGAATATCTAAAATATCTAACATGTTTAATATTATTTCCAAAAGTGTTTATATTTGTAGTTGATGTGGGATCGCCAATATTGAGTTTCTTCCACTCTTTCATGACTGTCTTCTTGTATGTCACTAATATCTTTAGATGCATTGGTTGTGGCTGCAAGAGGTCCATTTCGCAATAGTGCAAACCTTGGTCAGGACAATGTCTATGGTCGCTGTGGAGTGGGAGATAGGAAGAGGGAGAATAGAGAAGGGTGAGTGAGGAGAGAGGGGATAATGCAGTGGTGTGGTCATGATGCCCCACCCTAAAGGCTAATGGGGAGGGCAAAAGAGTGTGTAAGCAATGGGCAAAGAAGAAGAACGGTTATTAACAATTGTGGTGATTAAACCCTCCAAAAAAGTAAAATTTATGAAATTGGGAATATAATTTTGGGAGTTTTTAAACCATTGATAACCTTCATTTTAAATTGTCAAAATCGTATCTCTGTTTACTGCACCTAGTTCGTCACAATGGTTTATGGAAAAATATTTTAAATAATAGTTGACCAAAAGTTGACGTTTTGAAATGCAGGACTAGAGGCAAACTCTGCATTTTTTCTAGGGTAAAAGTATGTTTAAACCTTAAATCCTGGTCATGAAAAGAAAACATTAAAATGTAATTTAATCCAAATTTATAATGTGAGAAGCATGATAATGTAACCATGTAAGTGTACATCCAACCAAATGCAACTGTAGTGTTTAAGTTAGACTCATATGTGAAGTATCACGGAATGTAGGGTTTTTAAAGCCTGTATATTATTATAGTACATTGAAAATAACTAGATTATTACCAACTGGTTATCAAACATTTTCAGTGAGGGTAAACTATACTGCAAATGCATATGCTGTAACTGCGTGAAGCACATTACCTTGATGTGGCTGGCTTATCAACTTTATTCTGAGGCCATATGGAGCAATGAGGCTGTTTCCTGTCCTGCCTCAATGCCTACGTGGCTATATAGCATCTGCTGACAAAACTTATTTCCACGATATTAATTTTTACCATATTTTTCTCAATTGCAGGAAGGTTTTGCAGGAGAGAAATAGTCGTAACTCTGATAATTCATTCTATTTCCGGATATACCTTCTTGTCCTTGGTGTTTATGCTGCTCTACGTCTATTCCTTGCACTGTTGCTCAAATTTCCAGCCTGTCATGCACTTTCGGAAATGTCTGATCAGTCATTCTTTCAGTTTTTTAAGTGGATTTATCAAGTGAGTTATTTTGCTATTTAATTTTGATTTGTTTATTTCAAGTTCTGTGTTATGTTGCGACTTGTTAATGATGCTTTTTCAATGACATGATTCAGGAACGGTACTATGTTGGGCGTGGTCTCTATGAGAGGATGAGTGATTACTGCAGGTTCGTTTTCATGCAGAATATGAAATATTCTTGTGATAAACAGTTACTAATAAGATGAGACGACACATGCACCCCTATCTACTTGTTTGTAAATATTGTTTTTGAAGGTTGTTAATTGTGCATGTTTTTATGGTGACCATTAGCAGAATGTTGATGCATTAAGATAAAATAAAAGAGAGAAAATAGATTTTAGAGGGCTTAATCACACCTCTCACATGATATCTTATTTATAATGATAAGAACATATACATTGAGTAAATAGAAGGTTAAGGGAGAAGTCTGAGCTAGAAAGCGTAGGTAAAGAGATAGGTAGAACTAATTAATAATTCCAACACTCCCCCTCAAACTAGAGCATACAAATTGTATGTACCAAACATGGAATAAATGAACTCAATCCGAGGATTCCTTAATGATTTTGTTAAAACATTTGCAAGTTGGTTATTAGATCCAATAAACTCAGTACAAATTTCCTTAGTCATCAACTTTTCTCAAACGAAATGATGGTCAATATCAATGTATTTCGTTCTCTTATGGAATATTGGGTTAGAGACAATGTGAAGTGCAACTTGATTATCAAAGTATATTTTCATGGTCTAGATCTCACAAAATGTAAGCTTTTGAAGGAATTGTTTCACCCATATAAGTTCGCAAGTGAGAGATGCCATTGCTCTATATTCAACTTTGGCAGTTGGTCGGGTCACAACATTTTGTTTCTTACTTTTCTAGGAAGTAATATTTCCTCTAAGGAAAACACAATATCATGTAGAGCCTTTGTCAGAAGGGGAACCAACATCACAATACCTAGATATTTGAGTGTTGTCCCTATCTTCATATAACAAACTATATCTTGGAGCCTTTTTGTGATAGCTCAAGATATGGATGATGACATTTTAATGGCCAATACAAGGAGCCTGAATGAACTGACTAACACCAACTGCAAAAGACAAATCAGGTCTAGAAATGGTAAGATAGATAAGTTTTCCAACCAATCTTCTATATCTTTTCGGATCAGAGAACGGTTGACCTTATTTGGGCATTAGCTTTTGATTTGGATCCATAGGACTATTTGTTGGTCTACAATCAATCATACTTGTCTCTCTTAAAATATTTAGTGCATATTTCCTTTGAGATATTACAACACTTCTCTTGATTGAGCTACTTCAATACCCAAGAAGTGTTTGTGGCCAAGATCTTTGGTTTGAAAATGCTTGCACAAGTGTTCCTTTAATTGAGATATTCTAACATCACTCCTTGTAATAACTATATCACCAACATATACTAGTAAGTAAATACATTTATCAGGCAAAGTATGACAGTGAAAGACAAAATGATCTGCTTCACTTTGTTTCAAATCAAAAGTTTGCACAATGTGGCTAAATTTTTGAAACCAAGCCTGTGAAGATCGTTTAAGACCATAGAGAGAGTGATGTAAGTTACAAATCAAGCCTGACTCCCCTTGAGCAACAAATCTAGAAGGTTGCTCCATATAGATCTTTTCCTTTAGATCGCCATGAAAAAATGCATTTTTGATATCCAACTGATGAAGTGATCAATGATGAATAGTTGTCATGGCTAAGAATAAACGAATAGTAGTCATTTTGGCCACGGGAAAAAAAGTATCGCCTATAATCAAGACAATAAATTTGCGTGTATTCTTTAGCAACTAAGCGTGCCTTGAGATGATCGACTATGCCATTTGATCTAACATTAATAACAAACCCAATGACATCCCTTTGTTTTCTTTCCAGATAGAAGGGATACCAAGTCCCATGTGTGATTTTGATCAAGTGCTTCATTCATATTTCTTGGAATAGTAATGGAAGACGTTGATGATATAAAAGAACAATACGAAGGAGACAATCTATGATAACTAAGAAAATTATAAATGGGATGAGAGTACCTTTTTTGATGGCAATGGGTAGGGAATCAACAGGTTGAGGAAAAGCGATATGAGGAGATGAGGAGAACGACGGGAAGAAGAGGTCTCACCTTAGAGTGTCAAACGAGTCGTTTGGTTCCGACGGTGGTAAGTATGGCGCGGAGGTGGTGTTGGTTTGAGGGAATGGATGATAGGACCGAGTTCATCTATAAGGCACGAGGAACTGATGGAATAGCTAGAATCTCCTAAATGGAAGTAACATCTTGAACATAGAAAGGGAAGAAAAGAGTGTATTTACAGAAGGTGACACTGACAGACATCGGGATCCTATGATTGACACATTCACCCTCTTCTTGGAGAATAGGACTAGCCATCAGGATCCTATGATTGACAACATCAATGTGAGGGGAGGATGGTTCAGGAAGACTTGGATCACGACTGAGATCGATAGAGACATTGGAAATATTAGACTCAACCACTGGAATGGGAAGAACTTGCTGTATGACATGAACATCTTGAACAGAAGGAGAAAAGTAAGGAGTCTGTTCAAAAAATGTAACATTGACAGACATGTAGTACTTCTTGGTTTCAGGAGAGTAACATCGATACCGTTTTTGAAGGCGGGAATAGCCCAAGAAGACACATTTGATAGCACGAGTAGAAAGCTTGTCTAATCCTGGAAACATATCATGAACAAAACATATACAACCCAAACCTCGAGGAGAGGTGTGAAAGAGGATTATTTGGAAATAGAATGGAGAAAGGGATCTTATTACTGAGAGAGGAAGATGACATCCTGTTAATAAGAAAACATGCAGTTAAGATGACATCCCCCTAGTGATGGACAAGAATACTTCTTAAAATTTTGATTACTTGATCGAATTGAATTTTGATTTCATTTAAAAAGGATGTAAAGATGGGTAATAGTTCAGAGCGATCTTTCATAAGTTAAACCCCAGTACATCGTGAATATTCATCAATGAATGTAACAAAATACCGAAAACCAAAAGATGAGATGCGACTGGATCCCCAAATATCAGAATGGATAATAGAGAAACTGAAAGCACACTTTGATTGAGACCTTTTAGGAAAGGTAGATCTAACATGTTTTCCTAGTTGACATGACTCACATTCTAAGGTCTGGAGACTACTAAGTTCAGGACACATTCTTTTTAATTTTGACAAATGAGGATGACCAAGCCGATCATGTAAAATTTTAGGGCTCGGAGTAGCAACATAGGACACACGTGGATGAGGGCCAAAAATGTATAATCTTCCAGCTTCATATCCTTCTCCAATCCGTCTCCCCGAACCACGCTCCTGTATAACAAAAGATTTGTTATTGAAGGTTATTGAACAATTTAAGCTTTTGGTTAACTGGCTTAAGGAGATTAAATTGAAAGGACAATTAGGAACAAAAAGGACAGATTTCAGGTTTATGGAGAGAGACAAGGAAACTTGGCCCACTCCCTTTGAGGAAGCTTTAGAGCCATCTGCAAGGGTTATGAAATGTTGTTTTTCTTGAAAGGAAATGGTTGAGAATAAGAAGGTATTACCAGATATATGATCAGAAGCACCAGAGTCAATTACCCATGAATTTTGACCTTCCACAAATTGAGAAATGCAAGCAGTTGATGTGCTTGCAGTTTGAGAGGTCTGTGCCAAGCTATTAGACTTCAACCGTAGATACTCTTGGTATTCGTTCTCAGTAAACTTGGAGTCGACGGTTTCAGCTTTCGAGACATTGGCGGATTTGGGAGGAAAATCATGCAAGGAGTAACAGTGAGTAATAGTTCTCCTGTGTGTGACCCATCCTCTTACAGTAGGTGCTTTGAGGACGTCCTCGACCTCCATGTCCTCCTCCTCTGGTGCCATGTCCTCCTCTTCCTCGTGTGGCAACCATGGTAGATGGTTCTACTAGAGCACAAGCTTCTTGAGTTTCAGGCATTGGTACACGAATCAGGTGTGTGATAAGGGTATCCATGGAAGGGACTTCATAAGTGGTCTAAAGTTGATCTCTAATATGGTTAAAGTCAGGATGTATTGCGCGAAGGACATGAAGGTCACCATATCATTTTTAGAGGTGCTAGCTTATTTGCGGAATCATAGAGACGTTGGATATCATTGGCATAAATGGTTTGGGCTTTCTTCCAAAAGAGTGACAAGTTTTGAAGGCTCTAAGCGACATCAAAAGTCGTGGTTCCACCGATTGGCACAATAGAGCACATAGTTGAAAATTTGCCTATTTCCATGTTAAGCTTTTTCTTCCAGCACATGGCTTTCGTCTTTTCAAGGTGGTCGTGATGCCCCTGACCGAAAAACCACATTTCGACAGCAGCAGACCAAGGTAGATAATTTTGTCCGTTTAACTTTTCGGAAGTAATGGAGGGGCTTCCAGAGAATGAAATTGTAGCCATTTCCGATCAAGAGGACAAAAACTGGTGAGGGGATGCGAAAACAGTAAGGAAGGCCGAAAGCCCAAGAGTGATTTTCGCAAGGGTGGCTACTGGACTTCACTGAAATGAAGTTCTGAGGGCCAGAACAGGGAGAGGAAGCTTTGGCGATCCTAACAGAGGCGGTGCGACGATGTTCCGACATGGAGAAGGCGACACGTGGATGACACGCGCCAGATGCAGCAAAGAGAGAGGCGACGCGTGGAGGCGAACAAGCTTCCGGGATCAGCGGGGTTGTTGTCGCGCGGCGAGGCGATTCAGATCCGGTGGTTGCCGACGAAAACTGGACAACCGGAGACGGTGACCGGCTGTGGAGATGGCAGCGGCGGACGGTGACAAAAGTAGTGCCGAAGACTACGAAGACAGGAAGAGCTCTGATACCAACTTGATATTCAAAACAGAAAAAAAGTGTTTTTAGAGGGCTTGAAGAATCCCTCTCATGGTTCTCTATTTATATAGATAAAAACTAATATAATAGGGAGATTACATTAAATGCCCCAGTCCTAGACTACTCCTCAGAACTAGGTGCAGAGTTTATCAAACACTCAACCCCCTGCAGAGATTATCTAACACTCAACTCCCTACCTTAGGTATAATGATTAAATATATTTTCTATTCTATTCCAACAATATTCATGTCCTTCTACAATGAGCCGCCTCGTACCACGTTCTTGTATAACAAATGAATTGACATCAAAGATTATTGAACAGTTTAAAGACATGATTAATTGACTTAATGAAATAAGATTTAAAGGACAAGAAAGGACAACTAGAACAAATTTTAAATTTAATAAAGTTGATAGAGAAACTTGACCCACTCCTTTGGAAGAAGCTTTAGAACCATTAGCTAAGGTAATGGAAGGAGGATTCTTGAGACAAAAAAGGGATGAGAACAAGGATGCATTACTAAAAGTGTGGTCAGAAGCACCTGAATCGATTATCCATGGATTTGGACTTTTCACTGATTGTGAAATGCAAACTGTTAATGGATTAGAATTTGATGATTGTGCTAAGTTATTGGATTTTGTTGAAAGTCCCACGTCGCCTACTTCATGTCATTTGGTATGGTTTAAATACATGTTAGGCTACTTCACATATTGCCAATTGATTTTATGTTGGAACCTTAACATGATATCAGAGCCAAAGCCTAACATCTTTCCGGTTATTGTCATGGGCCAAAAGTTGCCCTTTAGTTGGGTCAAAAGTACCCTTTGCCTGGTCCGGCAGGCTTCGTTGGTGGGGGTGTGTTGAAAGTCCCACATCGCCTACTTCATGTCATTTGGTATGGTTTAAATACATGTTAGGCTACTTCACATATTGCCAATTGGTTTTATGTTGGAACCTTAACAGATTTCAACCTAAGATATTGCTGATATTCTTCATCTGAGAACTTGGGCTCAACAACTTCAGTCTTAGTGATATTGACGGTCTTCTTTAAAAAGCCATGTAATGTGAAACAGTTCTCTTGAACGTGACTCATCCTCTTATAGTGCATACATTGAGGGCATCCTCAACCACTCCTTCTATCATTTCGTCCTCCTCTACCACATATATAAATCATGGTAAAAGATTCCATAGCCTCTTAGAGGTTCTTGTTTTGACTTGTAGGAACCTGAAGATGTCTTGTGGTCAAACTTTTCAACAGCTTTGGTTCCACCGATTGCCACGATAAGGCATAAAGCCGAAAATCAGTGTGTTTCCATTTTTCAGCTTTATCAGCTGTTACCTTACTCCCATCTTGTTCAAAGTGATCATGGAGAATTTGGCCAAGGAACCATAGTTCAACTGAGGCAAACCAAGATAGATACATTTTTCCATTGAATTTCTCAACAGTAATTGAAGGTGTTCTTGAGAATGATAAAACAGGTATAGAGGATATTTTTAGTAATATCAATGTGCAACTTTAGGTTTAACTTAGAAAACCTAGAAACAAATGTTCAACAACGGGATCCGATGAGAAGAGAGCAGCACGTGGACCCCACGTGCGGGATGAACCCCACGTGCGGGATGAACCCGCGGAAAGGATGAGTAAGTGATGGTGCATCATTGGGAACCACCTCTTAATAACACCTCTCACATGATATCTTATTTATAATGATAAGAACATATACACTAAGTAGATGAAAGATCAAGGGGCAGAAGTTTGAGCTAGAAAACATAGGTACAGTGATAGGTACAACTAATTAATAATTCCAATACTTATATTGGTTGTCATTAACATTTGCCTTTTTTCTTACATGTATTACTGCTTGTATTATTGGTGTATGCACATCAGTCATTTAGTTAGCTACTCCTCTAAGGCGTTGTTTGGCAGCTGTCATCAGTAACTAAATGTGGTTTTTTTTAGGGCTTAGCTGGTCTTGTCTCGTTATGCATAAATACTGTGTAGAAGCTACTTGTACAAGCTGAGATAATTTTACTGAATATAGTGTTTATTAACTTTTATGTTGTCAGTAGTGCTGCTTTGTGATATTGATTTTTCAATTGCTAGTTCATGATTCTTTTTTTAAGTTCTGCAGGTATGTGGCCTTTTGGTTGGTGGTACTTGCCTGCAAATTCACTTTTGCTTACTTTCTCCAGGTTAGTCAGGTGTTTTTATATTGTTGTATTTGTAGGTCATGTTTCTTGGTGAGATTAACACACTCCAATATGTTATTTCGACTTTTCACTTATTTACTCCAACCTTATTGTTTTTTTTTCTTCTAAATTGAAGTTGGCATAATTCAAATTTACTTCCTTCCTATGTATGTAAAGATATAGAAAAGTAAACATGACCTCGTTTTATATATAATTACAAGACAATAATATTATAACTGCGATTAAATAATTTTGCTAATGGACAAGTTTAATAACCTTTCTAGTAAATAAATATTCTATTTAATCACTATATAACTGACGTTGAGAAATACATTTTTTATTTATAAAGACATCAATGTAATTTTGGTAATAAAATAAAAACATCATGGTCAGAAGAAAAGTGGAAGAGGTAAATGGGTTAATCTTTTTCTTTTTACTTGACATTGATCATAACTTTTATTTATATTATTAAAAATATAAAACTTATAATAAATAAATTGTAAATTATAACTGACAAAAATTAAAGTTCTTCAAAACATAAGTTTGTGAAGAATGTTAAAACATTGAAATGAAATGCTAAAACATTGTTTTTTAATTTAAGTTTATTTATGTAAGAGGATAAAAGTGATATTTTTATGCTGTTTTGTACTGTGTTATTTAATTGTCATAGTTACATTTAATATTTTTTACAAAAAGACATTTTTTTTCTCAATCGAATTTTCTGTAATATTTTAGTTAAATGCAATTCTCATTAGTTGGCATGCTGTTAAATTTTTGTAGAAATAAAAGAAAATGTGTTTTTCTACTTTTATTTTATTTTTCTTTTTTAATTCCATATAATGTAGGAAGGGAAAAACTTTAAATATTTGTTATTTCGTATTAAGGAAAATGTAAATAGATAAAATCAAAATATATAAGTATGAGTTATAGGCATATGAGTGTGTTATAGCCTCACCACGTTATGAGGAGAGTACACTAAAATGATTTTTGACTTTGTTTTTAAAGAGAAGCCGATATGAGATAAAATTAAAAAGTAGAATAAAAGTGAATAGAGTAAATGGGCATATTGGAGAGCAAAAGCCCCATCATAGGTTTGTAGTGAAATGGCTATTTTTATTTGATAGAGGGTCAAATCTGATGAATATAAGTGTGTAAATAAAATGTCATTTGTATAGTAAATAGTATGTACATAAATAAAATTATCATTACTAATGGTTATGTATTCTATTTCCTAATAACAGATTAAACCCCTTGTCGAACCTACAAATATTATTGTTGATCTTCCATCTCTGACTTACTCATGGCATGATTTGATCTCAAAGAGTAAGTATATGCTTTTGATTTTGGTTTAGTGAGTCAGTTTTTAAGGCATTGATGTTTTCTGTACTGCATGTTATATATCTTTAAATATATTTAATAATCGTTGGTGTTTTGATTTGATTTTTTTATATCATGGATTAATACATTAAATAGGAAATAGAAGGTTTGTAGAACTGGAATCTTTTTAGGTGATAGAGCAAAGTATAGATCATAACGTAGCTGGAATATGTTATAGTGGAATATTGAAATTCATCGGTGATCAGTGTTATAAATAACAAATCACCGGAAATTTTGAAAAGCTAAAAGTTTGCTATATAATATAGTGGACAGTGTTGTGGGCAAAGAGTGGAAGACAAATAGACAAAAGAAGAAAAAAAGAAAGTGGAATAGCGAATTCAGCAGGATAACAATTATTAGAAGAAAAATAGGACAAAAGAATTGTAAAATTATGGGAATGAAATTGAATGGAACAAAAATTTTCAAAACAAGATAGAATGAGAAAAAGGAAGAAAACAAAACCTAAAATTTGAAAAAAAGAAAGTGGAAAATTTTAAATGAAAAGTAAAGAACCAAGAATAAAGAAAGGGAGGACACTGCCCTTACCCAAAGTTGCCAGCGACTGATCAGAGATGATGGAGGAGGTCAAGTGAACGAAGGAGTGACTGCTCTGTGGTGTGATAGGTTGTTCCTTGGCCTTTATGTGAACTGAAGTTTTTTCTGGTGAGTAGAAGGTGAACATTGTTTATGTAAGGGAAGAGTATTAGAAGAATGAGGGCAACGAGAACTGAACTCTAGGCCAGTTGGGCAAAAGGTGTTGATACCATGAGACAAACCAACAATTTTGAAAGCCTATGTTGCTAGAATGGTTTCTTATTACATATTTAACAATATCAATTACATATTTCTTTCTAAGAAACACTCAACTAAATAGGGATGGTGGTTACAGATTTCTTTGTAACTTTTCATGTATCTAAGATATAACTTAATTAACCTTTTCTCTCTTAAGAGATGGTATCCTTCTTAAGATGTGTTGAAGGTGTTGTCTCTCTATTAAACATTCTTTCTTAGAGTCCCTGATATTACTTATATTGTGTGGATATTAATATTATAAAATTGAGAAATATGTTTGTCACTGATTTGTGCGTGTAAAAATTGCAGACAATAACAATGCTTTGACTGTTGTTAGCTTGTGGGCTCCTGTTGTGGCGGTGAGTATTCCTTGATTTTTCTTCATTTGCGGCAGTCTGAGCAAACTGTTGCTTGATCATGCTAATTGATCAAGATTGGTTTGTGGATTACTTTTTGTATAAGAAAAATATACAGCTGTTTTTATAGTCATAATTATAATGAACATGGATCCACTTTCAGCATATTAATTTTTAATGCTCTTTTAAACCTATAATTTACTGTGAACTCTATGAATGAGATGTCCACTCATTCTGTATGCATGTAGATGCATTTATTAGCTTATAAAGGACATAAATCACGTATATTAGTGAAAAGAAAGTCATCCCTTGAATTGTGTCTAGTCTCATTTAATATTACTACCAATTAAATAATATAATTGCATATGTATTTTTGTAATAAAATTTAAATTTCTGACATTATTAATTAAAATTTAACTAATTTACTTATACTGGAAAGGAATAGTTATTTGTTTCTAATATAAAGTACCAGAGGGAGTAGTAAATTAGGAGTAGCTGCAAATAAAAGCCAGAAAGGGACCCGCACCATTTGTATTCAGTTGAAGTAAATATTAATGAACATACTAGAGGAGAGTGGAGAAATATTAGGGAAGTTTAGCAAGAAAATAATGCGTTATAATATAAATATTAATTGTCTCATTTTCATTTCAGATTTTTATATAAAACCCTTGTTGTAATGATTCTAATTTTTTTGACTGTCCTTTTATCTCAGAATAACATGTTGGAAATTGGAATAACATGTCTCTTTTGTCTGAAATATCTCCGTGCAAGATCAGTTTTTGTTATCTTTGTTTCATGCAGCTGTCCAATTCGATCCAGTTGAGAATTGTGAGAAAGAGATAGAGAAAAGTAAAAAATGTTATTAAACTGAATTATTCAGATCTAATACAGTTTCTTATGGGTAATTGTAGAAGGCTAACTAGCTAACTAACTAACAGACTTCATGTACGAACTAACTATAGATGTCACTAACAGTTGCACTCATAGTGACTTTAGCACTATACTGTCAATAGATCCTATCTAGGGTTCTTGGACGCACTCACAGTTGCACTCTTCAACCCTAGTATGAGTTTTTCAGCATGATTGCTGGTGATGATTCATTCCAGGAATTTTCGGTGTGCATCATGGCGATGGAATATTCTCTCTCTTCTGTCCGTGTTAATGTATATTTTTACCCCTATAGCTAGTCCAAGCACATGCTCTTGTGTTGCTTATATCTTTCTGTTTACTTTTTAGTAGGTCATCGACAGCTGTATCCTGTAACTAACTTAGTCTAGATTTTTTATATGATTTTGTGTTCGTAGTTATTGTTATGCATGTATTTTGGGTAGATAGTTGACATGTTTAAATAACAGTACACTTACATGCTACTAACAGTACACTTTCATACTTTGCTAATGCATTCTTATTCTACAGATTTACCTCATGGATATTCTCATTTTTTACACTGTCATGTCAGCAATTGTTGGTGGTGTGATTGGTGCACGGGCTCGGCTGGGCGAGGTAATTGGTTTCCAAAGTGGTATTGTTTTGCGGATTTAACTTGTTGTTTAGTTTCATTATTTCAATTATTTTATTTGTTGATTGTTTATTACAAGGTGTTTGGATCAAGTGGAAAGGATTGGTAGTTTCTGCAATAAAAACCACTTATTGTGTGAATACTAAAGCTATACAGATAAATCATTTAATGCAATGAAACTAAATTCGGAGTGCAAAGTCTCTTAAAATCTCGCTTCTTTAACTTTTTCATATTTCCTTACATTTTCTATCACAATTCTCAACTACATCAATCTTAATGGACCCTAACATTGTAAGTATGCTCCCTTGCATGAAAACTGTTTGAAGATGTGTTGAATTTTATCATTACAGAAATATTTACTTGTTGATCCTTTCATTTTGATGTTACTTAAGCAGTCCTGTGCTAGACCATGTGGGGAATATGATTAAGGGCAAAAGAGGTGTTTGGGCTTATATCAAACAAGGCTACATGGTAAAAAGTGTGGGATGTAAAGGAGCCTTTATATAAGGGAAGAGTGCTACAAAAGTAGATCACCAAGAATGGGGTTGAATTGGTTAGGCTTAAAACTTGATTTTATCTCATGTACGGATCAAATAAAAAAGCCTTTTGTTTTGCTCAAATTTTGTTAGAACTTACCGACTAACAAATCAGAACAAATTTTGTTTATCTCACGTACGGATCAAATCTTTTATGTATGCAATGCACTCAAGACATATTATTCTTAGAAAGTAGGTTTAGGCCTAATACAACCCTACAAAATTGGGTTATAAAATGAGTATATACACTATTTTAGTCATATATCCAACATATATATCCTCACACCTTAGATCGGGCATCTCGAGCATGAAATTAGATTTTGGTGCGTGTCATGATAGGTCCAACAAACTTTTGTTTGAATAGACTCTAATACCATCATATAGTTTTAACCCAATTCAATCATACAAAACCGGTTTATAAAGTGAGATTTACACCAACACACATCCTCACAATTACATATGCTATTCAGCCATATCTCTTTGGATCTCCAACAATTTTGCAAATATAAAGGATTAAAATGTTAAGAGAATAGTTTGGAGAGAGAACTACACAAAATTTTATAATGGTCTACTTTCACATGTGGATAGCCTTATGGACCCAAATCGGAAATTAATGGCAGAACAGGGGGGAGTTTTCTCTGACCCAAAAAGATATAGAAGGCTGGTTGAGAAACTTATTTATCTTACTATTTGTCATTCATAGTAGATGTTGTGAGTCAGTTCATGCAGGCTCCTTGTACGCATCATTTAAATGCTGTCATCCTTATCCTAAGAAACATAAAAAAAAGTTCTGAACAAGGCTTATTATATGAAGATAAAGGAAATACTCAAGTTTTTGGGTATTGTGATGTTGATTGGGCAAGGTCTCCTATCGACAGACGCCCCACCATAGGATATTGTGTTTTCCTTGAAAGAAATGATATTTTTTTCAAGAAACATGTTAGAATTATTATTAGGTAGTGGTTCGTAGTTGGTGGTTGGTAGTTGATGTTTTAAATGTTGTAATCCTATATATATATATATATATATATATATATATATATATATATATATATATATATATATATATATATATATATATATATATATATATATATATATATATATGAGATCATAGAGTGGAGAATATCATCCCGATGAATTATAAATCTTCTTTTTAACTCTCTTAACTTGGTATCAGAGTAGGTTGGTCCTGCTCTGCCTTTCTGGCCACCGTCTGGTCATCGTCTGGCCACCATCCGGCCACCGTCAGCCACTTTTCCGGTCACTTTCCAGTCACTTTCCGGCAACCGTCAACCCCCCGTCCAGTCACTTTTTTACTGCTGTCCAACGACTTTTCTACCACCTTCCAGTGACCTTCCGGCCTCCGTTCCGCTACAGTTGTTCGTTGCTGCCATTCGTCAGTTTTCTTGCAAAGTGAAAATTGATACTTCCCTCTCTATCTAATTCTATCTTGGGTGTTCTCCTTATAGGTTCCATTGTCTCCATCTTACATCTATGTTATTTAAAACATGTTGTTAGGGCCCACAACCTCCTCTTCCGGAACTCCCACTATAACGGTTGAGAAATTAAATGGAAAAAATTAAATGTCTTGGTCCTCTTCAGTGGAACTTTGGTTCCTTGGACAAGGGTTTCACAATCATCTAGAAGAAGACGAAAGTAAGATACCAGAAGATCAGGCTCAACAATGGAAAAAGCTTGATTATCAATTTTGTGCTCTATTGTGGCAATTAGTAGAACCAAATATTTTGAACACTCTTAGATCCTTCAAAACATGTAACTCTTTCTGGAAAAAGACTCAAAATATCTTTGCAAATGATATCCAACGTCTTTATGATTCCGCTAATCGATTAGCCTCTCTCAAGCAAGTGGATAAAGATATGATGAACTTTATTGCTGAAGCTTAATCAGCAGTTGAAGAATTGAAGATGTTCCTAGAGGTAGATTCGTTAGAGGGGATAAAACAAAGGTTGGATAAATTCTATATGGTTATGATTCTCCGGGCTATGAATTCAGAATTTGATCATGTTAGAGATCAAATTTTAACTAGACAAGAAGTTCCTTCTATGGAAAGTTTGACTACAAGACTGCTTCGTGTTCCAACTCTCAAAGGAAAAAATAATCAAGAACTTGTTGAATCTTCTGCTAGGATTTCTACGCGCGGAAGAGGAAGTCGCGACACTAGAGGAGGACGTGGAGGTAGAGGACGTCCTCAGTGCACTCATTGCAAGAGAATGAGACATATCCTGGCAAATTGCTACTCTTTGCACGGTTTTCTTGACAAAACTGTCAATTTTTCCAAATTTGAAATGGTTGAACCCAAGTTCTCTCACAAAGAATATCAAGAATATTTGAGGTTGAAATCCAGTAATCTAGCACAATCATAAACAACCCCAAATTCATCAACTGCTTGCATTTCACAATATGTGGAAAGTCAAAATCTATGGATTATTGACTCAGGTGCTTCTAATCACATGTCTGGTAATACCTCTTTGTTCTCTTCTCTCTCATTTCCTAAAACTCCTCATCTCATAACCTTAGCCAACGAATCTAAAGTAGTCTCTAAAGGACCTGGTCAAGTCTCCATTTCTCCGTCTCTAAACTTTAAATTTGTTCTTTTTGTTGCTTCATGTCCCTTCAGTCTCATTTCCCTAAGTCAATTAACCAAATTATTGAATTGTTCAGTAACCTTTAATGCCAACTTTTTTGTTATACAGAAACGTGGTACGGGTCGACAGATTGGCGAGGGACATGAATCTGGAGGCTTATACTACCTTGGGACTAAATTATCTATATCTTGTGTTGCATCCTTGTCTCCAAAACTATTACACGAACATTTAGGGCACCCTCACATGTCAAGATTAAAAAAAATTGTTCCTGAACTTCAAACTCTTCAAGATTTTGAATGTGAATCATGTCAACTAGGGAAACATACTAGGTCCTCTTTTCCTAAACGTTCTGAATCTAGATGTGGCTCTGTCTTTTCTCTTGTTCATTCTGATATTTGGGGTCCTAGTCGTGTCTCATCCTTTGGCTATAGATATTTTGTTACCTTCATTGATGAGTTTTCTAGGTGTACTTGGATTTATCTAATGAAAGACCGTTTTGAATTATTACCTATCTTTAAGTCTTTTCTTAACGAAATCAAAAATCAATTTGGAAAAGTAATCAAAGTTTTACGAAGTGATAATGCCAAAGAATATTTTTCTACTGACCTATCTTTTGCCGTTGGAGTTGTCAGTCAGTTTATGCAAAATCCGCGTACTGATCATTGGAATGTTGTCGTTCACTTCCTAAAATATCTCGAAAAGGCTCCATTGTATGAAGATAAAGGGGTACCCAAATATCTGGGTATTGTGATGCTGATTGGGCTGGATCCCCTATTGACAGATGCTCCACTACAGGATATTGTGTTCTCGTTGGAGGCAATATTATTTCTTGGAAAAGCAAGAAACAAAATGTAGTGGCCCGGTCTAGTGCTGAAACTGAATATAGAGCAATAACATATCTCACTTGTGAACTAGTGTGGGTGAAACAATTCCTTCAAGAACTGAAATTTTGTGAGATCCAACAGATGAAGATGTATTGTGACAACCAAACAACTCTCCACATTGCCTCTAATCCGGTGTTTCATGAAAGGACCAAACATATAGAACTTGATTGTCATTTTATTCGTGAAAAATTGTTGTCTAAATAAATTTGCACTAAATTTGTCGGGTCCAATGATCAACTTGCAGATGTGTTGATAAAGTCTTTAAGAGGACCTCAAATTGAATTTATTTGTTACAAGCTTAGCACATACAATTTGTATGCTCCAACTTGAGGGGGGAGTGTTAGAATTATTATTAGGTAGTAGTTAGTAGTTCGTGGTTGGTAGTTGTTGTTTTAAATGTTGTAATCCTATATATATATATATATATATATATATATATATATATATATATATATATATATATATATATATATATATGAGATCATAGAGTAGATAATATCATCCCACTGAATTATAAATCTTCTTTTTAACTCTCTTTACTCTCTTAACTAAGCAAGAAACATAATGTAGATGCCTGATCAATTGATAAAGTTGAATACCCGGCCATGACGCCTTATTTGTAGCTTATGTGGGTAAAATTGTTCTTCCAATAATTAAACTTTTGTAAAGTTCAACAAATGAAAATGTATTGTGATAACCAAGTTGCGCTCCACATTGCCTCAAATCCAGTGTTCCATGAGAGAACAAAACATAGAAATCGATTGTCATTTCATTCGGAAAAAACTGTTGTCCAAAGAAATTAATATTGAATTTGTTTGCAGATGCATTGACAAAGTCTCTGAGAGAACTTCAAATTGAGTTTATTTGTTCCAAGCTTGACACATACAATTTGTATGTGTTAAGGTTCCAATATAAAACCAATTTAAAATATGTGGAATAGCCTAATAGGTATTTAAACCATACCATATGACATTATGCAAGCGATTTGGTACTTTCAACACACTCCCTCCAACGAAGCCTGTCGGACGAGATAAAGGGTATTTTAAGAACAACTTTTGGTCCAAGACAACAACAAAGATTACTTTTGACTCACAAGGAAAGGGAAACCTTTTGTTCCAAGACAATAACCGAAAAATAAGTTAGGCTTTGACTCTAATACCATGTTAAGGTTTTAACATAAAATCAATTGTCAATATGTGGAGTAGCCTAACAGGTATTTAAACCATACCATATGACCTGATGCAGGCGATGTGAGACTTCCAACAGAATACTCCAGCTTGAGGGAGAGTGTTGGATTTACAAGATTTATATTTACTAGATTGGTAATAATTAGTTGTATCTATCTTTGAGTTGTGTCTTGTAGAAATTAATCTTTTCATCTCCTCTCTAATTAATGTACCTTTACAATTTTTCATTATAAATATTAGGTGATTTAGGTTGTGGAGTAACACCCAAATATTATAATATTTCATTTATTTTCTCTCAAGTAAACACAACCAGCAAAATGTCAAACCTAGATTGAAAGACCTCTAAAGTCCTATAAGAAGCCTTTTGGCTACCCACAGATAGAAAACCTATCTTATTATCAAGCACCTGTTGAAAAATCCCACATGTTAGCACTACGCTTGCAGCAGAAAAGCCTTCGCTGATCAAATGAAGAAATGAATAGATAAAACCTGAAGAGAAGCAATTTGTTGCAACTTTTGACTTTTCTTGAAGAAAAATTGTACATGATTTCAAAGCTTTGATCGATTGCTTGATGACATCATGTATATTATTTACTTTCAATCTCTCTTTTGATCACTTTCACAATTTTGCACTTATACTTGTGTTTTTGTGTTGTATCAGTTATGAAATAAGAGGAAAACTCCTTTGTATTGATTATTTCATGATGTAATCATTTACTGCTTATAATTTCACGTTCTAAAATCTCAGACTACTCTAATGTAATCAATGATGATTTAATATAATTTTACTCTATGGTTACAACATAAAAATCCATATTCTTAAGAACTTGAAAATCACTTGTGTAATTAATTACATATCCATGCAATCTATCAGTCCGTATTAAAAAATCTTTGGCTTAGTGTTAACAAATTTCCAATCATTTTCATAAACCTTTTAATTCAATTTAGGTTAATTTTTGAAGAGATAACTTAATTTTTTATTCTTAGCTAAACGTTTGATTGCTTGTCATTGCTTCTGATGTCCTCTAATCTAAACTAGATTTGAACCTAAAGTTCTACACATATAACACAAACCTTGGCTTAGTTAAATGCTTATACAAGAAGTTATAGACCTTGAGTTTTGCTTCGTTGGTTCAAATGTGGGTTCTCTTGTTTATGTGAAACAAAAGAACGGGGAAATTTGAGAAGGAGGTTACAAGTCTTTAGAATAACTGATGCTATTTTTTGGTTTTCCCTTTTAAGGATTTGTTAGTCTACATCTTTCCTATGGAGCTATTTTTTTTTTTTTTTTTTTTTTTCATTTAGAAATCAAAATTTGTATAAATATGAAAATTGGTTTTATTCATTGAATTGTCTCTTTTTGCTGTAAACATTTCTTTTTAATGACTTATTGCAGATTCGTTCAATTGAAATGGTGCATAAACGTTTCGAAAGTTTCCCAGGGGCATTTGTAAAAAACATGGTATCTCCACAAATAAAAAGGTGGGTTTTCTATCATGTAGGTGTTTTAACTGACTTATTTCTATATAGCAAGCTAGTAGTTGCGTTTATCTTCTCTATTATTCATAGTTTACATAGTCATTTGCTTGGTGATACATAGAGTTGGTGAGTTATCATTTAAATTATGGTCACGGAATCTGATTTTTCTTTCATATTTTTACACTTTTAAGGTGCTATATATATTTCAAGTAAAAGCATCTTTCGTATTTTACTATTTTTGGTTGATAGTAGGTTTGTCCAGGACAACTTGTCACCTCTTTGTTGGTCTGCTGCATGGGATGATTTGAAAACATAAAGAACAGAAAATAAAATTTCTGTAAATTGCTTGAGGGAGCACTTAGCGTAACTGAAGCTTGTATAAATAAAAAAATAAGTATGCTTAGGGTTACAAGAACAATAATAAAAAATTAAACTATTTTTTTAGCTATTCTTCTGGATGATATTTTAATCAACATAATTCCCGATGTCATAATTATTACCACTATTTCTAGCACAGGATGTCTTATTCCTTGCTTGTGTCCTGTACTTCTTTTTGTAATAAATTTTGTATGCCAATGAATTGGGCTCATATTATAGTGAGTTTTATTTTTTATTTTTTATTTATGCCATTGAATTGTGTCATATAATTAGTTTTTTTATTTAGTTGAAGTATAGCCTGTACATATTTTTCTGGGAAATATTGATTTTTTTCATGATCTTTTTCAGGATTCCCTTGAGCGGACAATCAACCCAGGTATTTTTTTGTAGGGAAAGAGTACGATAGAGTAATATCAAATTCTTACGGTTTTTATGAATAGTTATTTTAGTTGGTTCAGATCCAATAAGTCTGTGCAATTCTATGTTGTGTATATCTGTTTTATATTTTCTTACCTTCTTTTTTGTTGAGCTAGATGATAAACATAGATAAAATAACCGGATTTGTTGTTGAAATTTGATTTAAAATGTTGTAGAAGCCTCTGGGAAATATTTGAATATGAGTGGTGGGTTGCTTTTATGTTTATGGAAATTTACTGCTTTTTTAAAAAGGTCCCAGTTCATTTGGTGCCAAAATCCTTGTAGATTCTACTTTAAATCTTTAACCTCAATATGTTTTGATTTTCTATGTACTTCTAATATTAGGAACTTTAGACATTCAGTTTAGTTAAATGAATTTTGGTTGTTTTGGTGCAGGATTCTCAAGATATGAACAAAGCATATGCTGCCATGTTTGCTCCATTTTGGAATGAGATAATTAAAAGTCTGCGCGAGGAAGATTTTATTAGTAGTAGGTTAGTCAAACGAAACTTGGTGCTTGACAATGTGTAATAAAAAGAAACTGGAAGGTTTTCTATTTTAAAACTTTTTATGCCCTTTGTTTCTTTTCTTCTTTTGTAAATGAACCAATGAAACTTAGTTTCATTGTATGTGGCAAAACTTATGCAGAGAAAGTGGGTAGCTTTGCACATATTTTGCACAAGGCATTGCTTATTTTGAGCTCTATCGTATTTTGTTTCCTTTAACTTTCTAGGGGATATTGAATTCTCCTCTAATTGTGTTATGAGCAAATCAAATGTAAAGGAAAAGTGGTTAGGGATAATGAGTGCAGTTAATGCAATTAGTTAGAGGGGATTAGTTTGTTAAATAATGACGTGGACTTATAGTGAAAGGATTTGATTCAGGATCAGAAAGTGTGTTAAATTGGGGAAACCTTGGCAGAATACTCCTTTCTTCTTATCTCTTTTCATTTTTATGCAATGGAATAAAAATCATTATTGTTTTCCTCAATGGCTTCAGGGGCTCCTATCAAATTGTCTAGTCAGTAATCTGTTTTTATTGGTTGGTTATTTGTTTATTTTATACTATTACAGGGAAATGGACCTGCTTTCAATTCCTAGTAATGCAGGAAGTCTGAGATTAGTTCAATGGCCTTTGTTTCTTCTTAGCAGTAAGGTGGAACGTTTTATTGAATATGTATTTCTTGGAATGGATATTTGAAGAGAGTTTTATTACTTGGAATGGATAATCTTAATTAATATCTTAATGTTCAGATCTTGTTAGCGATTGACTTGGCTTTGGACTGCAAAGATACTCAGGCAGATCTGTGGAACAGGATATCTAAGGATGAATATATGGCCTATGCAGTTAAAGAATGTTATTACAGTGTTGAAAAAATATTGTATTCATTAGTTGACAATGACAACGAAGCAAGACATTGGTATGAATTTGACTACTCCTTTTCTTAAATTCAGAAATTTTATTTATAAAGGAAATGCCATGTTCTTTATAATTCTAGTTTGGATTATAGTCTGTGTATTGATGTTTTATCATTCTTTTTTCATTAAAAAAATGATTTTGACAATTCTATTTGCAAATTTTAAAGCTTTTGACCATTGAATGGAGACCTTATACCAACTGGAATATTTGTGTTGATGAAACATACTAAAATTAGGGATTAGGTTTCATGTTTACAATTGGTGAACTTTGTGCTGTTGTAAAAGTGGATTTAGATGCAGTCCATGCAATTACGAATAGTTATCACTTGAGGAGTGTCTTTAGAAATGCTAGGAAGGAAAAAGACAGATGGTGGATATTTATTATTTCTCATTGCAAAATAATTGTGTTTGGATTCTATTATTATTTCGTGTTCAGCAAAACTTGTAACCATAATGTTTCTGGGAGAGCTTTTGATTGAAAAGCTAACTGTGTAGAGTTAGGCCAAACCAAACTTTAGCTAAGCATGTTCTGAAATAAATGTTTATTTTTGGAGCTTTTGACAATTCTTATATTATTAAAATATAAAAATTTTCAAATGATGCTATAATTATGATTAGCACTCCTTTAGGGCATTTTTGTATCTCAAATGTTGAGGGATAACTTTGCTCCTATAATTTTTTATTCTCATAGTTATTTCGTGATTCAGTCTTTGTTGAATGGATTTTCCATTTTTGTCAGTAGAATAAACTTGAATAGAATTTTTCTGGATGCTTAAAAGTTGAAACTTAAAAGATTGAACGGTGTGTCGAAGTTGGTACCTGGGTTAAGTTAATAGAGTCTACCAAGACTTAACCACAACTTTTTTAATATTTTGTGACAACAATTTCTAGGGTAACTCTTTAATAATGGGCATTATGGATTATTTAATTATCTTAATAATAGAATTTTACTATCTGATCTAACTATGTCAGGTTACCTTAACCTGGGACAGCAGATGGGATTTAGGTGTCAAATTTTGTAGTTAAATTTTTTGTTTTGGAAAAAATTTGTGAATGTTAGGTTCCAAAGTTTTTTTTATTGTACCCAATCATTATTTTTTGCTTGAACCACATATCTATGTTTGATGAAAGATTGTCAATATTCTTACAGGGTGGACAGAATTTTTCGTGAGATCAATAACAGTATTGTTGAGGGTTCACTTGTTATAACCTTGTCTCTAAAGAAGCTTCCGGTTGTTTTATCAAGACTTACGGCATTGACTGGACTCCTGGTAAGTTGCATGTTTAGTATTATTTTTATTTCGCTTGAAATTTATTAGTTTTGTGTATGAAATGTATTCAATGAGATTTCTAACTCACATGTTTTTCATTGGTTTCTTTTCTTTGTCCAAGTTTTCAATGTTTCTTTATATGTATTTGCTTTTGATGTATTTTTCATTTATTTATTTCAGATTCGAAATGATCCTGAGCTTGCTAAAGGGGCTGCAAAAGCTGTACATGACCTGTATGAAGTTGTAACTCATGAACTGGTATCTTCTGATTTAAGGTAAGGTGTATACATGCTTGCATGAGTATGATTTCCACCAACCTATGCTTAGACTAGTTTTATTTTTGTCCTCAACTTTTTTATTCAATTCAGTCTTAATGCTTCCTTATGGTGTTTGTCTTTCTACTATAACAATGTTAGATCTTACTGATAAGTTGTTAGAAATTTGGCTATCAGAGAAGAGATTTTGTTATTGAGCAGAAATGATTTCCTTCTTTGTCTCACTAAAAAACTAGGTGTAGGATGGAGGGTAAAGTTGGCAAAAGCCCAATTTAAAACACTTATTTTATTTTGTATTTTTATTTTAACAATCACTGACGTTAATGAGGAGTTATGATCAGCATATATGAAATTTATGTAGTTTGTCATCTAAAACCGGAAATTGAAGTCTGAGAATTAAAATTGTTTTTGTCAAACCTGATTTCATGCTCCCATTTTTTGGACCATTTTTTTCTTTAATCAATTCTTGAGATTGATTGAGTGTTCGCTCCTCTAGCTAATGGATTGCGATCAACATATCAACATGTTGTAACTATTTCATTTTCTAAAATAAGAAAATGAATTGGATTGTTCCTTGAAACTTGTTTTTCCTGTCATTTCTCTATGAACAAGAGATCTTACATTCTGAAAATAATTGATACAATTTATTTAAAGCTTCATCTTGTCATTAGTATACAACCTTCACCTTGAAGTTTTGTGACTTACTAGAGAATCAGATGCGTGTCAATATGACCCAATTTGATGTCTACCAGTAACCTTGTTTCCAATGTGGTTCTTGGGAACCTATGAAGCACTAATACTTCGATTTTCTTTACGTAACCGTGTTCAATACATATCTTATATCTATCCATGAAATCCAAGCCTATGAAACATCAATACTTTTATTTGATTCATATAGAATACCTTTGGATACTTATATGTATTGACTAAATGTCCAAGCTTTTAAATATTTTATATCGAGTAAAAGTTCTTGAACATGCAAGTATATGTAATATAGAAACATATAAATATTATTTCTTCATAATCCCAAGAAGAAAATTGTTCTTTTAAGAATTTTTTTCAAAAAGTAATGAGACTGATAGTGTTATGGTCTATATGTAAATAATAGAAAGTATTTTATGATGAAAATGATTTATATTTTTTATTTCAACAATGTCTAAGAAATGTGAGTTAAAATTTGAATTTGCATGACTGTAGTTTTATATTTTTTATGTTTTATGAATTCTTTACATTTTTAAATATGTATCTTATACTTATTATCCTTTTTTTTCTTTAGAACCATCATATCATTATGTTTGATACATATAGTATTGTATCCATGCATCATAGCTGGGAACTAATGGTGAGATTCAACACTAAATATCGGAAGGACAAATGTGATATGAAACATAGATTATACGTCTCAAATGATGCTAACATAAAGTTAGCAGATGAAATTGAAATCAGTCTTTAACTTAGATGCGGAGAATACTAATTCTATCTCTCATTTATGAACTTGTACACATTTTAATTTTCCAGGGAGAATCTTGATACATGGAACCTTTTAGCCAGAGCTAGGGACGAGGGGCGACTATTTTCTAGGATAGTATGGCCTAATGATCCTGAAATTGTAAGTTCCTTCAATTTGCATTCAATTCACCCTTCTTTTTTAATTTAGATACATTAAAGTAATTTTTCTGGTTTGTTGCAGAAAGAGCTTGTGAAGCGGTTGCATCTTCTTCTTACTGTAAAGGATTCTGCTGCTAATGTTCCCAAAAATCTTGAAGCCAGGAGAAGATTAGAGTTTTTCACAAATTCATTATTTATGGACATGCCTTCAGCAAAGCCTGTTAGTGAAATGTTGCCATTCAGGTATACGCACTTATGAGTTTCCCTATAGTTTGTGTTGAATATAGAGGAAATAGGGTTTGAGATTAATCTCCCTTATGTATAAACTACACATAGGGTAATCTATTTATAATAGAGAGAGGTACAACTAAAAGAGTAACTGAAAGTAAACAGAATAAATAGAAGATATTGTTTAATATTGTGGTTAACAATATTTAAACAATATCTAAATAATATTTAAACAATATCTAACATTCTCCTCAAGCTCGGAGCGTACAAATCGTATGTCCCAAGCTTGTTACAAATATAATCAATTCTAGGCTTCCGTAAAGATTTAGTAAAGATCACTTGAGTTAACAAACTTATTCTTGATGTCTCCAGACATAATCTTTTCTCGAATGAAATGACAGTCAATCTCAATGTGTTTGATCTTCATGAAAGACAGGATCAGAGCTAATATGAAGAGTAGCATGATTTTCACACACAAAGTGTCATTTGGATGACATCTCCAAATTGTAACTCTCTAAGCAATTGCTTGAGCCAAACAAGTTCATAGGCAGCTAAGGCCATAGCTCTATATTTTGCCTCTGCATTGGATCTTGTCACAACATTTTGTTTCTTACTTTTTCACGAGATGAAGTTACCACCAATGGAAATGGGAAGGTCAGACTTAGGTGTCAGATCCGGAAGAGACAAAGTAGTTAACACTTGAGTGGAGTCACATGGTGGTGGTTGTGATTGATTTTGACGACTATAAACTTGAAAAGACGGTGGAGAAGAAGTTGACTGCAAAGCAGGAACTAATGGTGAAGACACAGTTAGAGGGTTACAAATGATAGGAACATTAAATGTATTAAAAGTGTTGATAGGATTGGGTGAAGATTGACATTTAAAATACAGGGAGAACTCATCAAAGGTGACATCTGTATACACAAAATAATGGTTAAGAGAAAGAGAAAAACATTTGTATCCTTTTTGTGATCTTGTAAACTTTAAGAAAACACATTTATGTGATCTAGGAGAAAGCTTGTCAAGACCAGGATTTAAATTATGAACAAAACATGCAGACCCGAAAGCTCTTAGAGATAAGGAATGAAGAGGTTCAAAATGAAGAGATTCATGAGAGAATAGAATAGAATGATGTATTTTATTATTTAAAATCGAAGAAGACATACGATTAACAAGATAACATGCAGTAAGAAGAGTATCACTCCAAAAATGTTGAGGAACCTCTCAATGAATTAAAAGAGTGCGAGTTGTTTCAATAAGATGTTTATTTTTACGTTCAGCTACACCATTTTGTTGAGGTAAAAAGCACAAGAAGTTTGATGCAGAATACCGTGAGAAGCCATGAATTGTTTAAAAGAATGAGAAAGATATTCACGACCATTATCACTACGCAAAACTCTAATAGAAACACCGAACTGAGTTTGAATTTCATTAAAAGAAGTTTAAAAAATATGAAATAATTTAGAATGATTTTTCATAAAAAATAATTAAGTGCATTTGGAATAATCATCAATGAAAGTAACAAAGTATTGAAAACCTAAAGTAGATTTAACGCGGCTAGGTCCCCAAATGTCAGAGTAAACCACGACAAAAGGGGACAAAGCACCACGCGTGACACTACGAGAAAAGGAAGTACGATTATGCTTGCTTAATTGACATGACTCACACGCTAAACTAAACAAGTTGGACAAGGCAGGGACAAGTTTCTGTAACTTGACATGACTTGGATGACCTAACTGAGCACCATAACTGCACCAACATGTGTAGAGGGATGAAGATGATAAAGACCATGAGACTCGCATCCTGTGCCAATCATCAGTTTCAAACTCCAGTCCTGTAAACGCATAGAATTGTTGGTAAAAGAAACAACACAATTAAGAGAACGAGTTAGACGACTGATGAACAACAGGTTAAAAGGAGAACCAGGGACATAAAGAACATTATCAATGGTTAAAGAAGGGAAAAGTTTAATAGTTCCAACATCATGAGATAATACTTGAGTCATTAGTCAATGTAATAGAAGGTAAAGAATTAAGAGATGATAAACAGGAGAACGAAGATTTGTTACTAGTAATATGATCAGTGACTCCTGAATAAAAAACCCAATGACCAGGAGAAGAGGATTGGGTCAGACTAGCAAAATATGTACCTATGTATGTGACAAATGTAGTGGAACTAGAAGACTGTTGATCCTTATACCATTTGAGAAATTTGTTGAACATAGCAGGTGTGTCGGATGCAATAGAAGAAGGAGGATCCCCAGCAGCCAAAGGTGGGGAAAGATTGATCTGAACAACTGCAGTAGATCGAGGAGGACGACCATGTAATGCTGAACACTTGTTAATTTTATGACCTAGCTTGCCACAATGTTCACACTAAGGATGCTCTTTTCCCTGTTTGCAAAGGCTAGTCCGATCATCACTGTGAGATGCTAACGCAGAAGAATTATTAACAAAATTGGAAGTAGAAGGAGTGGAAGAAGTCATAAAGGGTGGGAGAACAAACCCTAAAAAATCCAATCAACCCATGAAGCACAGGTCCAAAACAAGAAGACCAAAACAAGTCTGTCTAGACTAAACGGCGCAGGAGACAACGGACGACCAACTTCGATAGTGGTGATCTCAATGGCACGATGGTCACCTGACCAAGACGAACAAAACCGTATGTCACCGGTCAAAATATAAAACTCCGGTGATAGTTTTGGCGACTGCTCTGGCGACGGTTCCAACGACTGCTCCGGTGATGGCGGTGGGGTGACAACGGCATGAATCGGTACACCAGGTAAGTTCCCAAAAAAGAGAGGTGGATCACTAATGGACACACTTAAATACCAAGTCTTTCCTTGTCAAAACTTTCCTAAACATGCACTTTCACACTACCAAATAATATCCAGTAACAAAGATAACTTTTTTCTGTTGAAGATCAGTTTAACCGGAAGCGGCGGCGGTGGCGGCTCCAGCAGTGGACAAAGACGAAAAATTTTTTAAAATAAGCTTAAGTTCTGATACCATGTTGAATATAGAGGAAATAGGGTTTGAGATTAATCTTCCTTGTGTATAAACTACATATTGGGTAATCTATTTATAATAGAGAGAGGTACAACTAAAAGAATAACTAAAAGTAAATAAAATAAACAGAAGATATTGCTTAATATTATGATTAATAATATCTAACAATATCTTAACAATATCTAAACAATATTTAAATAATATCTAACAGTTTGCCGTGAATTTTCTTTTGCTTCATTTTTTTCCCCATATTCACCTTTTCTTTTGTTTTTAATTTGTCAGTGTTTTCACTCCATACTATAGTGAAACTGTGCTTTATAGTACTTCCGAATTGCAAAAAGAGAACGAAGATGGAATATCTACTCTTTTCTATCTTCAAAAAATATTTCCAGGTAATGTGTCTTCTCCCTTACATCCTCCCCCTCACAAAGTAAAAACACATGTCAAAGTTCAGAACACTTGTTTGGTTTGCACATATCAATTGCTCTTAAAGTTTGATTTGTTGAAAGTTTTTTTTTGTCCATGACTGTTCATTCCTATTTGGTTTGCATGCAAATTACAACACTTTCGTGTTGCCCAATCATAATCAATTTTAAAGGGTGAAGAAACAAAAAGAAAGTGAATTTATCTTATTATCTGTCAATATAAAGTTACACTAAGCATAATCTGTTTCAGATATTGGTGAAGCACAAGGAATGGTTTTTGTTATCTTGAACAATGTCAGTTTGGGACTGAGCTTGAATTATATTGTATTTCAGATGAATGGGAAAACTTTCTTGAGAGAATTGGTCGAGAAGCATCTACTGGGGATGCAGAACTTCAAGAAAGTTCTAGCGACGCATTGGAACTTCGTTTTTGGGCTTCTTATCGAGGGCAGACTCTTGCTAGGACAGGTCACACGTTCTTAGTATATCTTATTTGTCTTTCTGTCTGGTTTTATAAGACATAAGTTGAGACATAGCTACTGTATTTTCAGTGCGTGGTATGATGTACTATAGGAGGGCTTTAATGTTGCAGAGTTTTCTGGAGAGCAGATCACTAGGAGGTATTTTGAATATGAACATTCTGCATTGCAGTTTGTTATTCTGATTTTTGTTCTAATGAAATTTTACATTGACATTTACTGGCAATCTCTTGTATCAACAGTGGACAATTATTCTCAAAACAACTTTATTACAAGCCAAGATTTCGAATTATCTCGCGAATCACGGGCACAGGCTGATTTGAAGTTTACTTATGTTGTATCGTGCCAAATTTATGGTCAACAAAAGCAGCGGAAGGCAGCAGAGGCTGCAGATATTGCTTTATTGTTACAGAGGTATCCATTTGTGTGCTCATCTTTTTAAGCACTATTCAAGCAAAAACTCTAAAAATATGGTACTATATTATGTATGGCATTCCATATTGCGTGCCTTTCCATCTCTTTTGGGGAAGCATTGTGCCAGTAAACTTTTAAACTTGTTTGCTTACGAATTTTGTTGAAATAAGAGAGGCTAGTCATAGGTAAACATTATCCATATAACAAACCTTTTCTAGGAGAATGTTTAATATACTTCAATATTCTAACTGCAAAAGAAATGTCAGGGATTAGGTAGAAGTTTGTCATTGGGATCCATGAGATCCATTAGGTAGAATGGGAGTCTTGTCAATTTTATTTTAGTTGTGTCAAGAAAAGGATTTCTTGTTTCAGTGTTTCATTTTTTTCATACTTTTTTGTGGTATCCATTACATAAGATGTTTTCCGTTATTAGGAATGAGGCACTCCGAGTTGCTTTCATTCATGCTGATGAAAGTACAGCTGATGCTAACAGTTCAAAAGTGTTCTATTCAAAGCTTGTCAAAGCCGATATAAATGGAAAAGATCAGGTGAAGAAAAATAGAACTCTCTTTGCTATGGGATATTATATTCCTGCTTTGTGAATTATAAGTTATTATTCCATTCTAACGGATAAAATACTAGTTTTATGATATATATTTTATTTCTGAATGTTTTGTTTTGTTTGTCATTTCTGTAAAGTGTTCTTTATTTTCATCTTGTATATAGGAAATATATTCTATTAAACTTCCAGGAGATCCAAAGCTTGGAGAAGGAAAGCCTGAAAACCAAAACCATGCCATAATTTTCACTCGAGGTGAAGCTGTTCAAACTATTGACATGAATCAGGTGAAGACATGTCTCATATGATCATTTTTTTCTTGTTCTCTTTGCCATCTTTTATTCCTTTTTATTTACAAGATGTTTTACATTGCGGTCCAAAAGACAAATTAAAAGGAATTAAGGAAAAATAGCTCTTTTCATTTGCATCCTTTGTCAAGTAGGAAATATGTTAAATGTGATTTAGGTGAGACTTTTCTTTTTATCTGTATTTTCATGTTACATTGTGCATTTTTAGATAATTTGGACTTTCACTATAAATTTTAAAATATTATTTTGCAAAAAATACGTTGCTATTTCTCTTATATAAGAAAAGATATAAAGGAGGTATAAATAAAATACAAGGTAATAAATCTATACACTAATCTATCCCTGAAAATCAGGGAAATATTCTCCCTATAAATGCTATACGTAGCTGTGCATAAATAACGAATTAAAACTTAGTATATTATCATTAAATCCTATCATAATTGAATTATTCTAATTGATAGTGCTGATCTTCAACACTCCCCCTCAATCTGGGTGGTAGATGTCTATCATACCCAGATTGGATCTAATGTTTTCATATGTGTTTCTTGGAAGAGTTTTTGTTAGAATATCTCCTGTTTGTCTACATGATGGAACATGGTCAACGCTTATAATACCATGATCAATTTTTTCTTTAATGAAGTGTTGGTCAATTTCCACATGCTTTGTCCTATCATGGTGGATTGGTTCTTTGTTATGCTTATAGAAGCTTTGTTGTCACATTATCCTCATAGTGTAATTGATAGGAATTTTGATTTCATCTAACATCCTCTTAAGCTAGATTCCTTCATAGATACCTTGAGTCATAGCTCTAAATTCAAGTTCTGCACTACTCCTTGCCACCATAGGTTGCTTCTTGCTTCTCCAAGTCACCAAGTTTCCCCACACAAAGGAACAATAGCCTGTAGTTGATTTCCTGTCAAAGGGACAACCTGCCTAATCTGAGTCAGTATAGACTTCAATACGTATGTTTGAGTTCTTTTTGAAGTAGAGCCCTAGTCCTGATGTACCTTTGAAGTATTGAAGTATTTTGTTTGCCATGTTCATGTTGGTCACAGTTGGATTAGATGTATAACGACTAGTCAGGTTGACAGCAACCCAATGTCGAGCCTGATGTGAGTTAGGTAGATTTGCTTCCCAACTAGTCTTTGATATCTATCTTTATCAGCTGGTGGACTTTCCTCTTCACCTCTCTTTTCCGGTTCTATGGGAGTATTGACTGCCTTGCACCCAAGCATGTCAGTTTCTTGAAATAAGTCCAGTGTATATTTCCTTTGTGATATATAAATATCATCCTTCGTCCGAGCAATTTCCGTCCTTTCAAATGCTTGATTTGATCATAATCGTCTCCTGTGATAACGATATCATCAATATAAACAATGAATAGGGTTATCTTCCCTTCAGCGGAGTGTTTGACAATTATCATGTGATCTGATTGACATTGGTTGAATCCATCTTCTTTGACAACCTGAGTCATAAAGATTTTCGGAGCCTACACACATGTTTGAGGCTTTTGATGATTCAAGTCCCGGAGGAATTTGTATATAGACTTCTTATTCTAGTTCACCATTTAGGAAGATATTCTTGATGTGTAGTTGATAAAGTGGTCAATCTAAATTTGCAGCTTAAGAGAGTACAACTCGGATTGAATTGAATTTGGCCACTGGTGCAAACGTCTCTTCGTAGTCCACTCCATATGATTGGGTAAACCCTTTTGCCAACAATCGGGCTTTGTACCGGTTTATACTACCATCTACATTGTATTTGATGGAGAATATTCACTTGCATCCAATCGATTTCTTTCCTTTTGGTAGGGTGGTGATTTCGCATGTGCCATTTTCAACCAAGGCCTGGACTTCTTCTGTTACAGTTGCTGCCCATTCAGGTTGTTGGAGTGCCTCTTCAATATTTCTTGGGATATATATGCTATCAAGAGCTGCCATAAACAACCCAAGGTTATCAGAATCGAGAGTCTACGTTGACTCGTGAGAGCTTCGTAGACTCGACTCGTAAACCCGACTCGTAGACTCGTAAGAGTCTACTTCATATGAAAAATTCTATAAGAGTCTACTTCGTTACCTCTGTTGTGTTGTCTCTGTTGTCCAGGTTTTTTATCTGTTTTTTCATTCTTTTTAGATGGACGAGATTGGTTCCTTCTTGCTTCCATTGTTGTGCCTTCAATGAACAGGGCTGCACTTGACTTTCCAAGCATTACTTTTCTCCTGCTTTCTTCCCTTCTCACTTCCAAAAATACTTCTGGGATTGTTTAAGAAATTGGGTTCCAAGGATTCTTCCTCAGACTTCATCAAGTTCTGTATTCAGCCCCAATAGGAACTTGTAATTCCTATCTTTCTCCACCAATTCTTTATACTTTTTCTTATCCTCGACACAACTCCATTGAACGTCTTCATATATGTCTAGTTGCTGCTAATGTTGGCTGAGTATATCAAAATACTCAGTGACTGAGAAATCACCTTGTCGCAGTTCATGGAGTATGTTCTTGATCTCAAATACCACAGACGTATTGTCCATATTTGAGTAGGTTTCCTTCACTGCATTCCACATCTCCTTGGCAGTATCATAGTACATGAAATTCTCTTCAATTTCATTGGTCATGATGTTGAGTAACCATAACATGACTAAACTGTTTTCTAGTTGTCATTTGTTGAGGTTAGGGTCACCCTCTACTAGACACTTGGAGTCTCCGGTGATGTAACCTTCCTTCCCTTTTCCTTGAAAGAAGATTTTAACTTAATGCACCTATTAAGGGTAATTTTGGCCATTCAATTTGTGACCAATGATAGGAAAAGTAGGTCCTTTGACCAAACTGGTGGTCGAACCTCCTGCCTTGTTCTCTTCCATGGTTGGTTGCGTTAGGTTAGGGATGATCCAGGTCAAGCTCTGATATCATGCGAAAAATACGTTGTGTATTTCTCTTATTTTGAAAAAGATACAAAGGAGGTATAAATAGAATACAAAGTAATAAACCTATATACTAATCTATCGTTGAAAATCAGGGAAATATTCTCCCTATAAATGTTGTACATGATTGTGCATAAATAACAAAATAAAATCGATTATATTATCATTAAATTTGATCATAATTGAATTATTCTAATTGATAGTGTTGATGTCCAACATTTAGCTATATAAAATATGGTTGAATTTTCTTATTTGGTTGCTCAGTTGAATTTTGAATATTTAAATTACTTGTATTTTTATTTGAATCTAGTATTTCTGTCACTTAATTTCATGTAAAAATATGTTTTCTTAATCATATGTTTCTCTGAAAAGGCTTGAACATACTGTAAAATAGGGTATATTCTCTGTATTTCTTCATGACACGGCAAAACATGTGTTTAACCAGACTATTGTAAATGCACTTCGTCATAGTTAATTTCTAGAAATGGGAGTTGTTATGGTTTAGGGATGTTTAGTAGAGAAATCTCTATCTCTGTCCTCAACCGCATGGTTGTGAATGAACAAATAACTATGGAAAGAAAATTTATATAATTTAATCTGATGATTTGTTTTTACAGGACAATTATCTTGAGGAAGCTATGAAAATGAGGAACCTTCTGGAGGAGTTCCATGCAAATCATGGCCTTCGCCCTCCAAGCATTCTTGGAGTAAGGGAACATGTTTTTACAGGAAGGTTTGGCATGCACAGTATATAAATTTGTTAAACAAGGTGACTATTGAATTATGGTTGTCTATCTTTCTTATATATTGCTTGCTTGAAACCTGCTTGCAGTGTTTCATCGTTGGCTTGGTTCATGTCAAATCAAGAAACTAGCTTTGTAACCTTGGCACAACGAGTTTTAGCGAATCCTCTCAAGTAAGTTTAGCTTGGTGTTGATTGTCAATGGATTTGATTAACAAGTTTTTCTCATTATTAAAACTGGCCAATTCATAGCATAATACAGCTGGTCATTTATAACCAACAATGCCTATGGAATTGTACAAGTGAAATATTGTAAATTGTTGGAGATATAATCAAATTATAGTATATAATTGAGGTGTAAACCTCACTTACAATCTCGTTTTTGGAAGGTTAAATTAAACACCTACTCATTTGCAATATAAACATGCCATTTATTCCTGAATTACTTTAGCTAATTTATAATCCATATTATCTTGGATTAAACTGTATTTATATGAGAATTCTCCATATGGGAAGTCAGTTTTTTCCCCTGCACTTATCTGATTTTGGCGCGTTGATAGTCTATACTGGACAATATTAGTGAAAGTAATTGATGAACCAATAAAGTTAATCCTTTTGTTTTTATTTAATTTCAACCATTAAAAATGATACTTCTACTGGAATACAAACCAACTATTAATAGAAACCGAGGCCAATCATACCCGGTGTGGCTTTCAATGATAATTTCAAGATGTAAAATAGAAAAAACCATGTCAATAGCCAGTTGTCTCACGGTAAATCAAATCCATATCAAGTCAATGAACATTCACTAGAGTTTTTAATCTCTTTTATTTGCAATTTCAACCCGATATTTGCAAATTCAACTTGTTTTTTCACTTGTTGAACAATGTGACTTCGAGTGACAGACAAGATGCCAAATGGGACATGCGCTGCTGCTAAGCCGGCTTCCAGCAATGTGCTGCTGAATAACTTTGGTTGCCGGGCTGAATCTGGTTTTAACCAGTTGGATCAAATCTTAGGCCGATGTGATGACATCGTCACCGATCCAATTTATGATTTGATTAGCATGCCTGGTTTCTTGTTCAAGTGGCCGGGTTGAGCCAGTTTTTAAAACAGTGGTTTCTTGTGTAATGTTTATAAGGTCTTGGGTTCTCTTACAACAACTAGTTTTTGTGTTGTGGTTCTTTTACTATTCTTATTTCCTTGAAACTTAAAATGCCAACATCTTCATTTTCAATTTATAATCAAACAATGCATTTTCATATATTCTTGGTAACAATTGATCCTGTTTCTTGTTTGGGAATAAAAATCTTGCAGAGTTCGTATGCACTATGGACACCCAGATGTATTTGACAGAATATTTCACATAACTCGAGGAGGGATTAGTAAGGCATCACGTGTTATCAATATTAGTGAAGATATATATGCAGGTAAGAATGATACTCAGTCTATTTTCATGAGGTTACCCTCGATTATATCTTAATACTATGTAATCTGATACGATATTTTGATATAATATTTTGCGTACACAACAGGATATTGTCTTGTGTCATTTAAATTCATGTTTATGATCTATTTGAGAGCTAGGCTATTATGACGATGGTACCTGTCTTACTATTGATGAAAATAGTGTGTTTTCAAGATCAAACTGTATTACGCTATAATCAAAGCCATTGTGAATGACTGGCAATCGATAGGAATAGATAAAAGTTTAAGTGGCTCCTATCAAGGAAAAGATGAAAGGATCTGACTTAAGATGGTTTGTTCATGTGAGAGAAAGACCAATAGAGTCCCCAAAAGTACTGAGTTGAAGGATGCTAATACAGTAAACAAAGCTACAGGAAGATCAAGGAAAACTCTCGCGAAACCATTACATAAAAATTAAAAAACTGACTTAAATGGCATTTAATTTTTCTTGAACTTAATGGTGGGATTTGATCCATGTAGTCGATCTCATGTGAAGAAAAAATCTTTAGTCTTTTTTATTTTTTGAAGAACTAATAGAAATTATTAGCATGGATAAAATTGTATATTGTTCTATTTATGTGTAATTTATCTGATGAATTCAAGGCATGTTATACTGCAGGTTTCAACTCCACATTGCGGCTGGGAAATGTCACACACCATGAATACATTCAGGTTGAAAATACAAGTTCAAAATGGATGCTTCTGCTTTCAGCTCTGTGTAACTCTTCTTTCTCGTATTCTAACTGTTACCTGCTTCTGTAGGTTGGAAAAGGAAGAGATGTTGGGTTAAACCAGATTGCACTCTTTGAGGGAAAAGTGGCAGGTGGTAATGGAGAGCAAGTGCTTAGTAGGGATATTTACAGGCTTGGACAACTTTTTGATTTCTTCAGAATGCTTTCTTTCTTCTTCACAACTGTTGGTTATTATGTCTGCACCATGGTATAGTTCTTAGGCTCTGAAATTTTTCATTGGAAATGAGTCACATTGACTTGTCTTGGTTGTCTAATAAATTTTATTCTATGCTCTCGTTGCAGATGACAGTCCTTACAGTATATGTATTCTTATATGGAAGAGCATACCTGGTAATCTGATAGGGACTTGTTCAGTTATCTTTCTGTCTATCACCAGTTTTTTGGACTTTGTAAACTGATAGAGCATTACTGTTATCATTCTTAACCTCAAATTATTCACTACTGTTAGATATGATTAGATATTGTTTGATATTGTTGAGATATTGTTAGATATTGTTAATCACAATATCAAATAATATCTTTTTATTTACCCTATTTGTATTCTGTTACTCTTTTGAGGAGTACCTTTCTTTATTATAAATACACTGCCCTATGTGTGGTAAATACATAAGGGGAAATTAACCCTATACAGTTTTTCCCTATATTCAACATGGTATCAAGAGCTTAAGGTCTCTTGGGATTTTTTCGGCTCTGCCACTGAACCTGCAGCTGTCGCCGCCTCCATCACCGCCGCCGTCGCCACCGCCGTCCGCCGCCGCCGCCGCCGCCGTCGCAGAGTAGCAGTTCGGACCGCCGAGCACAGGGTTTTGCTCGCCTCCTCCGTGCGACCTCCACCGTGGAAGTTTCGCGGTCATCGGAGCAGCCCACGCTCCCTCACGCGCCTCCGAAGCCGCGCCACCTTCTCCCGTTCCGCCGCGCGTGGCGGCGCGTCTCGCCGCCGTTTAGGCCGCCGATCTTTGCGCCGGTGTCGCCTCCTTCTCCTCTCTCTGGATCTGTCCTCGCTGCTCCAATCGGACCTCTTTGGTGTTTTAGGGTTTTTTCTCTCTCTTCCTCCCTGGCATCTTCCGCTGCCACTTCCAATCTCGAAGTTACCTCCGTCGACTCCGGTGGGTCCGAGCAATCTGTTTTTACTAATTATGTCAATGTGAATTTACCCATTGATAAATTAGATGGTACGAATTATGCAACTTGGGCATCCGATATTAGACTTTGGCTTGAGAGTCGGGGTATGTTGATCATCTTACTACCAAGGTAGATGATGTTCCTTCCAATGATCGTGTCCGTTGGAAGAAAGTTGATGCTCATATATGTATGGTTCTCAAGAATACCATCCAATCTTCTTTAAAACAAATTTTTCGATCGTATGACACATGTTATGACGTTTGGGAACAAGCCAAATTATTATACACCAATGACACTCAACGTCTTTATGGTGTTTGTTACAATCTTCTTGATGTTATTGCTCCTCGAGATAAGGATCCTGTGGCGGATTATGTGGGTAAGATCCATGCTCTTCTCCATGAATTTAATGAGTTATTACCCCCTGCCTCGACTCCTGCCCAAGAATTAGAGCAACGATCAAAGTTTTTCATGGTTTTGATGTTACACGGACTTGCCGATAAATATGCCCCTGTTCGTGACCGCATTTTGGGTTCCCCTGTTACACCCAGCTTTTCCGCTACCAGTTCCTCCCTTTGCGGGTGCCATGTAAACCTCTCAATATTCCCCCGTAGTTTCTAATGATTCATCTGCCTTGGCCTCTCACCGTGATGATCGTAATCGCTCTCACAAGCCAGGCAAAGGGCGTGTCAAGTGTGACCATTGTGGCAAACTAGGCCACAAAATTGACAAATGTTATGCTTTACATGGTTATCCTCGCCGATCTGTCTGCAGTTGCTCGGACCGATTCTTCCGCACAATCCTCTGCTGTGGATCCTCCTTCGTCTCGTACCTTTAGACAAATCTGCTATCTTCAATGATTTTCTTCAATGGTGTGAGGATCGAAAGCCCTCCAGCTCCACTACTTCGTTGCCCACACAGGTACATCTTTTGCTCGGTCCGACTCACTCTTCTTCTATTGGCCCTTGGGTTCTTGACTCAGGCGCCACCGATCACATCACTCGGTAACAAATCCTTATTTTCCTCTTTCACTTCTTCTCATAATTTACCCTCTGTTACAATGGCTAATGGGTCTACAACTTTAGCTCATGGTGTTGGAACGGTTACTCTTTTTCCCTCGTTGTCCATTGATAATGTTTTGTATGTACCCGGTCCCCCTTTAACTTATTATCCATTAGCCAGTCTAACTCGATCTCTTGATTGTGTTATCTCTTTTACCAAAACTTCTGTTTCCCTACAGGACCGGAGCTCGCAAAGAGTGATTGGCACCGGATGTGAGTCACATGGACTTTATTATCTTCAACCTTCTCCACATGTTGGCACGGTTATGGAGTCTCCTTCTCTCCTTCATGCTCGGCTTGGTCACCCCAGTCTGCGCAAATTACAAGCAACTTGTTCCCAGCCTTATCCCAGCTTGTCCAATTTGGTTTGTGAGTCCTGTCAGTTAGGCAAACATAGTCGTACTTCCTTTTCTCGTAGTGTTTCCCAGCGTGCTTCATCCCCGTTTGCCTTAGTTCACTCGACATTTGAGGACCCAGTCGTGTTAAGTCTAATTTAGGTTTTCAATATTTTGTTACTTTTATTGATGATTTCTCTCGTTGTACTTGGTTATTTTTAATGAAAAATCGTTCGAGTTGTTTTCTATATTCCAAAACTTTTATCATGAAATTAAAAATCAATTTGGTGTCTCTATTCAAACTTTTCGAAGTGATAATGGCCGTGAATATCTTTCAAACTCGTTTAAACAATTTATGGCTTCTCATGGCATTCTTCATCAAACTTCCTGTGCTTATACCCCTCAACAAAATGGGGTGGTTGAGCGCAAGAATAGACACCTTATTGAAACAACCCGTACTCTTTTAATTCATGGTGAGGTTCCTCAACATTTTTGGGGTGATGTCGTTCTTATCGCTCGTTATCTTATTAATCGTATGCCCTCTTCGGCTTTAGATAACAAAATTCCCCATTCTATTTTATTTCCTCATGACACTCTCCATCCTTTACCTCCGAAGGTTTTTGGGTCTACCTGTTTTGTCCACAATTTTGATCCTGGTCATGATAAGTTATCTCCTCGATCACACAAATGTGTTTTCTTAGGATTTACTCGATCCCAAAAAGGATACAAGTGTTTTTCTCCTTCTCTTAATCGCTATTTTGTGTCTCGCCGATGTCATCTTCAATGAGTTTTCCTTTTACTTTAAGGACCCTTCCCTACCTGCCGAGTCTCCATCTCGCTACAGCTTCTCATTCCCGTACTCATTGATCCTTATGTTGAGGACCATCCATCATTAGCCCCTCCTCCTCCACCACCCCTTCAGGTTTATAGTCGCAGACCTCGCCCACAACAGTACGCCACATGACTCACTCCCAGTGCCAAATACTCGCCTCCTCCGGCTCCGTCCACGTAGTCCGACCTTCCTATTGCCCTTCGTAAAGGTACGCGTTCTACTCGTAATCCTTCTCCACATTATACCGCTTTAAGTTATCATCGAATTTCTTCACCATTTTATACTCGTCTCTCGTCTATTTCTTCCGTGTCTATTCCTAAATCTGCCTCTCGAAGCCTTAGCCCACCCTGGTTGGCGTCAGGCCATGCTAGATGAACTCGGTGCTCTTCGGACTAGTGGAACCTGGACGCTTGTCCCATTACCATCCGGAAAATCTGTTGTTGGTTGCAGGTGGGTCTTCGCTATCAAGGTTGGTCCCGATGGTACTATTGATCGCCTCAAAGCTCGCCTTGTAGCCAAAGGCTATACCCAAA